CCACAAATCCAATAGAAAAAAATATATTCGAATCAATAAGAAGAATTGAAATAATAAATCCGAAAATTATTACTAGACCTCCTTTTTTTCCGATTCCTAAATATCTATTATCTCTATTCCCAATAAACCTAAAGCATTTTATTATTATAAAGTCCTCCCCCTTCTTTAAGTCCCTTAATCAACAACCACAAACCTCGTAGACCACGATAATTTTTATTTTGAATTCCCTAACCTAAAAAATAAATAAAACAGAACCAATACCCCCCATCTATTATAAATCTTTATCGTTCCTTTTTTTTTTTATAATTTTTATCGCGCAATAATATTATGGGAGATACTTTATCGCACCAACCTTATCTAAAATATAATCTATATTTATAAATTTTGCCGTGCGTGAGCGCCCCGGCCCTCTTACAAACCAGAAGATTTTAACCTACTACCAAATTATATATTCATATACTGAATAATACAAATTTAAATAAAAAATCGGTAATCGATACATTATAATATCCATAACAACCATTATTATCTAGATTAAAATAAATTGAATAGTATAATAAGAAAAATAGATTGAATTCAATTTTTGTTCAAAGAAATATGTCTATATATATATATAATCCAAGTTGCAAGCAATGATATTCATCAAATAACTCCCAGCTTGCCTGTAGAGCAGACTGTAAAACGACACCCCTCTGTCTTTCTTTGAGGAATCGCCGTCCATCTGTACAACAGGCCTCACCGGCCGGATCTGAGAAATGGTCTATGATGGTCGCGCGAGATCTCTTAAAGAACCCCGACACCTCGGAACATGCTAGAGGCTTAGAGCTTAGGGTCTTCGGGATTTCGGGCTTGGGCTTGGGCTCCACTCAACTCGGAAGGTTCACAGAAGACACATGGTCTGGCGAAGCTTTCAACGCGTGTTAAATCTTGGTGCTCATGCACTCGGGAGCCACATCGCAGGGCCAGTTGATCCCACCTCAGAAGCCAAGGGCTCTGGGCAACCCCACACAGAGAAGGGAAACGAGTTGTGAAGTTCGGGGGCTGATTCCATGATGTTGGTGCAGGGTTTGGCCCGGCAAGGTTGGGAATGACAATCGGAAGGAGATTTGGGCATCACCGGCTACCCGAACACTCTTGCAAAGCATTCACCCGCATGGTCCGACGCTTACACAGGAAGCAAACATGAACAGTCCGAGTAAAGTGCTGCTAGTAGAAGTAGCAATAGTAGTAGTAGTAGTAGTAGTAGTAGTAGTAGTAGTAGTAGTAGTAGTAGTAGTAGTAGTAGCAGTAGCAGTAGCAGTAGCAGCAGCAGCAGCAGCAGCAGCAGTAGCAGTAGCAGTAGCAGTAGCAGTAGCAGTAGCAGTAGCAGTAGCAGTAGCAGTAGCAGTAGCAGTAGCAGTAGCAGTAGTAGTAGTACTCACTGCAACCCTGGGCAATATGTAGATCCTGGTCTGTGGGCGCAATATTCAGGCTCAGCGGCGGTGCCGTTCTGGAAAAGCATGGCCATCAATGCGACCATAGCAAGTCGTCCGTTGGCCAGCCTACCCAACGCCCAACTAAATATCATGTATATATATATATATCTATATATCTATATATGCATGTATAAATTATATGTATATATATGTTCTCCACAGCAACACTAAGTAATTATACGGGCTCTTATGGAACTTCTTCTGCTATTCAAGGGCAGATCCCAGGGCTTTACTTGTCTCGGCCTCAGGCGAGGTGGGTGCTCTGGGTCAGGGCTTAGGGTTTGCGGTTTAGTGCGCGTGGCGTTCGAAGACCGACGATCGAAAACTTGTGGCAGAGGATCGCCCCAGGCCCAAAACTCTACATGGGAGTTTCCGAAAATAGGGGACCCTAAGATAATACCCTGAATAGTAGGATCCTTATTATAAGGACCCCCAAAAAGGGTACCCCGAATTTTCGGAAACTCCCACATCATGCTAGGTCATCTTGTATGGTACTGTCATGCTGCATACCTTGTAAGCCCGAGTGCAGAGCATACTTATTTCATGTAGTAAACAGTATACACAACAGCTGAACATCACATAGCAGTGGTCCACCATCTGTTACGTATTACTATAATATCATCGTATACATGATGTGACATAGCACATGATGAAAACAAGATGTGAACTGCGTGCCATATTATAAGATACTTTGCACAGGCTTCACGCTCACATCTTACACATTATGTGTTGAGTCCACAGTGAAAGATGCAAACACATAGGTGTATGCATATGCTTATATGTATATATGCATCTTTGTATATATGTATATATGTATGTGTGTCTAAATGGGAGACCTAGAAACACACATTAAAATCTATAAACGCAACGTAACACGATTCACAGCTTTTTTGGAACATGACAACACCCACAGTATGTCACATTCCAATATTAGCTGTCAGAATGCACTACAATGCGATGAGCTAACATGTAATAATCTGTGTGCCTTGTCTAGTATCTTAGATAATATGCAGTTACACTCAGTTCTATCACATTTTTTAGCCGCGATCTGATTTATTTTGCGTTCCCTCGCAAGTCCTGATGCCAGGTGTTATGAACCCGATTATGTACTGCTGGTCTGCTGTACTATCCTTGCAATCCCTGCTGTAGCTTCTTCACTTGCAATCATACTAGCTACGATGACTGTTATCATCATGACAGCTTTTACCTCTCCACCCCTTAAACCCCAAACCCTGCACCCTCTAAACCCCCAACCCTACCTTTGCAAGAGCCTCGATCCTTGCCGAGGCACTCTGCGGCCAGCTTGGTCTTCTTGACCTCCGCATCCTGGAACTCGATAGGGTCGACATTGATGATGAAGTTCTTGCCTCAGCTTTGGCAAAGTATGTAAGACATTAAATCCTACCTACACCCTAAACCTACACCCCAGGATTTAGGGTCGACGTTGATGATGAAGTTCTTGCCTTGCTCAATATGGGGTTTAGGGTTTAAGGATGAAGCGACAATCCACGCAACATCTTGTCCAACAGGGGCCCAAATGACAGAAAAGCCGAATCAAAACTTCAGAGTAACATCAATCATCATTTTCCTCTTCCTCCAAAACTTAATAAAGAGGAAAACACTGACAACAACTATAAACCCAACAACATTCATAATGAAACTAGTGAAGAGTTATGCCATGATACTAACAGACATTCGTCTGTGTATGTATATATATATATAGTCATATGTATATAAGCTTGGAAACAGAAGCACAATAACAACAATAATGACGCAACAAGAAGACTATCAAACATAATGAGAGGAAGAATCATATGGGTGGTTGTCAAAACTAGGGTCCCTTTTTTGGGCACCCTAAATATTCAGTGCCGTACTACATTCGGGACCCAAAGAGGGACCATACTTTTGACAACCACCCATGTATGTACCAGCTCGGCCCAGTCTCCAACGCCAAGGAAGCCATAGCCTTCGAAGTCGCCGGGGGCGCGCTTGGCATCCTCGGGCTTGTTGGGGTTTGGGGTTTTAGGGTTTAGGGCTTGTTGGGTTTGAGGGCTTTTGAGGATGTTTTGGGTTTGAGGGTTAGGGTTTGAGGGCTTCTGAAGATATTTTGGGCTTGAGCTTGGGCGGTTTGGTTTACGATTGGGGTACACGACCTCCGTGGCTTGTTCTTTAGAGCTTGGGATGCATCACCTGTTCTTGCCAGTTTATATTGCTTTGGCTGCTATTGCTATAGCCATGATTTGGCTGCAGGTTTTGACTTGTGTGTTGCTTTGTGTTGTTGGGCTTCGGCCGTGGTTGTGATTGGGGTTGTGTTTTCTGTTGCGTGGCTGCTGCTGTTGTCGTTGTCGTCGCTGTTATGATTGCTCTCGCTGCTGCTACTGCCGCCGCTGTTGCTACTGCTACTGCCAATCGCATTCCTTCTCCTACTCCTGCTCCATTACTGCCGACTCCTACTGCTGCTGCTACTACTACCGGTACTGCTACTACTGGGTTGACCTTTAGACACCCTGAACAATATTTATATATAGGGTCCCTTATAAACCCAAATAAGGAAAATAAAAAATGTCCCAAAATCCAACCTAGACTACTACTGCGCCTGCGACTGCTACTGCTGCTGCTGCTGCTGCTGCTCCTCCTCCTCCTACTACCACCACCACCACCACCACCAGCACCACGAATACTACTACTACTACTACTACTACTACTACTACTACTACTACTACTACTACTACTACTACTGCCACTGCCACTGCCACTGCTACTGCTACTGCTACTGCTACTGCTACTGCTACGACGACTCCCGCGACTGCTACTGCTTCTAATGCTACTAGTATTACTACCACAACTACTACTGCTGCTACTGCTACTACTACTACTACTACTACTACTACTACTACTACTACTACTAGTACTACTACTACTACTACTACTACTACTACTACTACTACTACTACTACTACTACTACTACTACTAGTAGTACCATTATTGCACCACTGCTACTACTACTTCTACTTCTGCTTCTCCTCTCACAACGACGACTGCTACGACGACAATGCTATTATTACCACTGCTACGACGACATCTACTACTACTCCTACTAGTACCACCAGTAGCAGCGCTACTGCCACTGACACAGCCACTGCCACTCACGCTAGTGTTACTAGGACGACGGCGCCTACTGCAACTGAGACCACAGCAACGACAACGACTATCATGGTCGTCATCCTCACAACCTTCAATATTGTTGCCATTATCATGGTCATAGCCAGCGTCGTTTTCCGTCATCATCATCGCTACCATCATCACAGCCACTATCATCACTATGAACAATGAAGAGTTCATTATCCCCATCAGAGAATCACCGCAGCCATGCCTTTCCCCGTTGCAAAAGCAGCATCATGTTCCTCCCCGGCTCATCCGCATCGTCATCTTGCTCATCGCTCTGTCAACCATGAAAATATGCGCAAGCCTGCACGATCGACGAAAAACCCTCCACCCCCGCCCTGCGCAGCCTGCCGCCAGAAGTAACCCTCGTAGTGGCCGATGAACAGCACGATCTGCAGCCAGCCCTCCAGTGGCACCTCTCGGCCGGAAGCTTTCGGAGGTGCGAGAACCAGCACTGGGTTCAAAACATTAGAATAGGGGGGCCTCGGGCAATCTCGCCAATGTATATATATATATATATATATATATATTGCAAGTTACCTGTGCCTTCAGGGTATCAGCATCCGCGATCATTGCTGCACGACAGCCCGCGGCATTGAGCATTTCACAAGTTGGGCTTGCTGCTTAAGCCTTCGCACGACTCGAACACACTAAAATGGCTAGAACAGATGCCCAACACCTTTAAAATGCCACATGATCCCACATACAAACCCGAAAACTCCTAAGCCCCTAAACCCTGTTGAGGTCGAAGTAGGGCTCAGGGTTGAGGCCGGGCGATGGCGGATCGGGGGTCCGGGGCTACAGGTTGGACGAATCTCGGGTTTCGGGCTCAGGCCTTTGGGGCTCAGGGCTCAGGGGTTGAGGAGTTAGGGGTCTGGGGGTTTAGGGGTTTAGGGATTTAGGGGTTACGGGTTCAGGGGTTTAGGGTTGCGGAGTTTAGGGTTGACTTTTGTCTTGGTATATTAGGGGCGTTGGGTTTAGGGGCTTGGGGTTGACTAGTCTTGGTATGTGGTCGTAGTATTTAGAGTCGCGTCTTCTTCGAGCCTTTTCGGCTTAAGGCTTCTGGCGCCTTGGAGATAGCCGCAATGCCGTGGGGCATCTCGCTGAACTTCAGGCCCTTCTCAGGGGACCTCAGTGGCAAAGCGACTTCAAAATTGAATCCTACAGGTACAACGGTACAATACATGTCTGCATATATATATATATATATGTATATATATATATATATATATGTATGTATATCTCTCTCTCTATGTCCCTCTCTCTCTGTCAAGTATCATATCAATCCCAAACACCAACCCAGTGTTGCTGGGCTGCGCTATGAAAGATAGGGTTCGGGGTTTATGAAGGCCTTTCTTGCTGCCATCAATGTTATGCGAAAGGGTTCCTAAACCCTTTAGGTCTCAGTCGGGTGGCTTCCAGACCCTTCAGCCCCAGGCAATCCCGAAATGTCCCAAAAGCCCTGAAACCCAGGAGCCCCAAGCACCCAAAAAACCGTCCGCGCCCGAAGAAAGAGCCAAGGCAAGGCACAAGAATCCGGGCCATCTGAAGTACTCAGGGATGATGTAGCCGGTGCAAGCCAACATGCCTAAAGTGCTGCGATGCTGCGAGCAGGACCGGCCCGGGGGACCTACAATAGGGGCCTTAGTGATTAGAACTGCGTTTCGAGGCCCGTTAGACCATAACTATAACAAGGAACCCCCCAAATTGATATACATAGGTAGTTATTAAGGCACCTATATTATCCTCAAGCTCCCACTCTGTGCCGTCGCGGGGCAGATGCGTCCGTGCTTCAGCTCGACGGCCCTTCGTCGCTTGAAGGTGTCCATGTCGCCATCGGCGGAAAGGCCAAGGGGATCCCAAAATCCCACGGGCGCCTGAACGCCCAGCTCTCCTTGCAGGGGTAGGCGGTAAGCTACATTGCCATGCGGAGGAGGGAGGGTCGAGCCTAGCAACATCGATTCGGTGAAGAAACTCCGCAGAGAACGCTAAGGCTCTCTAGCGAAACTACAATGCGCTATGAAATGGCCATGATGCTACAGTGACTGATACGGCAACATATGTTGCCTGTCAGCCCAGGGCTCCTTCGAAGGCACGGAGAGGGGAGTCAGTGTAGTTGGCCCAGTCACCCCACGCGGAGCCGGTAAGTCCGTCTTGGAAGAACATACCGATGATGGCCATCATTGCCAGTCGTCCGTTGGCCAACTCCGCATTGAGCTTCTTCGTGCGCAGGGCTGGGTCCTGCACGGAGTTGCCGAAGCCGAGGTATCCCAGACCAAGGTTGCCCTTGCCGTAGTTGCCCGGCTCGGATGTCTTCTTGTTTGCGACGAGCTCCAAGAATCCGGCGAAAGCCAGGATCTGCGCCCAACCCTCCTTGGGCACCACGGAGATAGCCTTGAGGCCGTTGGGGACGTCAGAGAACTTCAAGTTGTTGGACGGAGACAGGTAGCCATCGAACTTGAAGTACTCTGGGACGATATATCCGATTGTCGCGAACATGGACACGCGTCCGTGCTTGATCTCGGTCTCACGACGGCGCTTGAAGACCTCGACGTCCAGGTCCTTGGAGAATCCGAGTGGGTCCCAGAATCCGAGAGGTGCCTGATCACCGGTGAGTCCTTCGAAGCCGGTGTTGGGCTTCTCCCACTCAGGCAGGGTGTTGTAACCCGGGCTCATCAGTCCACTGCGAAGAGGGGAGTCTGTGTACAGCGCCCAGTCACCCCATGCGGAGCCAGTGAGTCCGTCCTGGAACAACCTGAATGAGTGCATCATGGACTTGGATATGGTCTTCATGGTCTTATGTACTAGAAGACGTCGGCCATAAGCCCACTTTGAGCCTCTGAAGGCCTTATCCTTGCCAAGTTGCATACCGATGATGGCCATCATGGCCAGGCGTCCGTTTGCCAACTCCGCCGACAACTTTTTCTTACGCGCCTGAAGATTCGGCTTGCATCCGTTTATCTTCAGGGTAGTTGGCAGGGACAAGAAACCAAGGCTGCAGCTGACCCGCATGAACCCTGATCACCAAATTGCCCTGCTTCCTCGACTCAACAAGTTTCGCCACCTCCCAAGTTCCCAGGGGACAATACGAGGACTTGGCTGAAGCCCATGTGGCATAGGCGGACAGGTATTGTCTCGCAAGGACCCTGCATCACTAAGCCGCAAGTTTAGAACTTTAGACATCAATAATCCACAACGAAAGGCCCAACCCCAAACCTTGAACCCTATACCGGAAACTACGCTCCAAAGCCCAGACACTCCCAGACCCCTGTATTCAGAAGCTTCACCCGAGCGATCCTCCGGATCTGCCACAGGGCCCAGGAAGCCGAGGCCCAGGTTGCCCTTGCCATAGTTGCCCGGCTCATCGCCGACCTCATTCATCGCTGCTACCGTTATCCATACTGCCTTCTCCGTGAACCTAGCGCTCTTGCTGCTACTGCTGCTGCCACTGCCACTGGCACTGGCAGCTGGCACTCCTGTTCCTGCTCCTGCTCCTCCTCCTACTCCCACCACCCACTACGACTACTACTATAAACTACGGCTACGACTGCTAGTACTACTACTACTACTACTACTACTGCTGCTGCTGCTACTACTACTACTACTGCTACTACTACTACTACTACTACTACTACTACTTCTACTTCTACTACTACTACTACGACGACGACGACTACTGCATGACAGAACCAGAACTGGAACTAGAACTACGACGACGACGACCGAACGACGAACGACGTCGACGACTGAAAGACGAGGAGTACTACGATGACTGCGAAGACGACTGCTGCTACAACTACTACAACTCTACCACTAGCCCGACTACTAATCCCACGACTAAGACGACCGAACCGATGTGAACTCACTTCATCACTGAAAGCTTCACCCAGCTGCGGGCTTGTTGATGAAGAGCTCGTAGGTTCCGAGGAAGGCCACGATCTGCCCCCATCCTTGCCCTGGGACCTGCGACATGGGTGGTTGTCAAAATTATGGCCCTTTTTTGGGTCCCTATGATAATACGGCACCTCATATTTAGGGTACCCAGAAAGGGACCATAATTTTGACAACCACCCACATCGTAGAGGAAGCTTGCAGAATCCTGTTTCAGAGTTGTTTTGGGACTCAAGGCCTTGTTATCGGGTTGCGAGCATGTGTCCTTAGGTTTGAGCCGACCAGCTGAGCCAAGGCCTGTCAGTTGAATCAAAAACGCTGAAGATAAGGTTTCGCGTGAATCCCGCACATCCAGGCAAGGCGTGTTGGACGTCTAGGAGTTTTGTTGGGCTTGGGGGGCTTGGGGCCTCGATCCTGAAGGAACGGCTTGCTACCACGAAAACGATCAAGTTCTCCAAGCATCAGGGGATCTTGCAGAGACTTGCCCCGGAAAGGTCTACAATCTAATCCAGCAGGCAATTCTGCTCTCGATGCCGGCCCACGTGTCGAGACTAGATTCACCAGATTCCCAACCAGCTTCGAGCAAATCTCCCAATCCCGAAGCCACAAACCTTTAGCCCGAAAATCTGAGGGGCGGCCCACTGCCCCGCCTTCGTCAATGCCGCGAGACCATTCGGGATGTCCGTGAACCTTCGTGGTTCTTCCAAGAGCTGTCTGGGGGTTTCGGCATCTGGGGTTTCAGAGGTTCGGCTAACAAGAACTAGAAGCCTCTCTTAGAAGGCATTGAATGGAAGTGGGCTTTGTAGACGTGCTGCTGGTGACTGCTTCAAGAACCTTAATAGGACCACAGAATGTTACGTGTTGCAGCCCTGGAGAAGCTCCTGAGTAATCCGCAAATCACAAGCCTTCCGAAAGCCCTCTGAGCCGTCATCCCTCTGAGTCTAGTGAGACGCTTCAGGGTTGAGGGTTGAGGGTCCCAGAAGTCCTAAGGTCCCGGAGGACCTGAAACCTTTAATTTTGTAGGGTTTAGGGTTTAGGGGGTTTAGAAGTTTAGGGTTTAGGGGGTTCAGGGGTTTAGGGTTTAGGGCATCATGCAAGCCCCGAAATTCCAGTGCGAGTCGAGCGTCTTCAGGCCCAGCTTCGGGGAGAGCTCACCGGGCCAGCGGAAATACTCCGGCACGATGTAACCTCGGTTTTATCAAGGTGCGCTAGTTATGCATGGGTCGTGGGGATGGGAGCAGTCAGGGGCCATGATAGCACCAGCCACAGTACCAGGAGGAAGCAGAGTGGATAGAACAACAGAATCAATGAACATGTGCTGGTGAAGAGTTTGTCCATCAAGATCTACACTCTCAAGCGCGACAGACCACATCAGCGCAGGTGTTCTCTCATCTCTACTGCCGGAATGAGCAGGAAGCACAGACCAAGCGGCCGATCGTGGCATACATGGAGATCCTGCCGTGCCTGAGGTTTCGGTGGCAATGGCTGAGCCTAGTTCAGGGTAGCGTACAGTATATACCCGACGGACTGCTGTAGCCATTTATATCAGCTGTTTGTTGTGCAAAGAAAGAAGCCCTATGATTCCTCCACTCACATGCTGACACGCTGACCTTTGATGTGTTGATGCTGCTGCACCAGTCACGTCTATCACTGGTACCGTATGAACATCATCATCCTGCGAACTCAGCAATGAATTCGTGAGGACTGCGACCGGGAAATTTCTCACGTATGACATGCTTTCCTGCCACTTGTCGAGTGCCCCTGCGGAAGCCAAAAGCGTTTCAAGACAGTAGAAAAGTATTTCGTGGGGGCCTTAAGCATTAGAGTAGAGTGCTACAGGGTTGCACTAGGTTGTATAGGGCTTCTTTTAGGTAGGCGTCTTGGGCTACACTTAATAGAGTACTGTAGTCTGAGGACTTCCATTTTTCTCCTCCGAAAATCCGATCCCACGATTCGCAGACACGTCGCTTGAGCTCCACTTCGCGGCGGCGCTTGAACACCTCAGGGGTTGCTTTGGTTTTGGAGAATGTCGGGCTTCTTAAATTCACAGGCACCCTCAGAGGAATCCTTCGCCTGCGGAGCCTATGTCTCTCTTGGTGCCCCTATTTTCTGAAACTCTCATAATTAAGCATTATTGAAGAGTATAGTCGACGAGCCGAAGCGCGAAACCACCAGAGAAACGACCCGGGTCGATAGAACTGACCCAAACCCTAAGCCCCAAGCCCCCAAACCAACAGAACCCCACCTCGGTGTCGCCGTCGGCGGAGAGCCCCAGCGGGTCCCAGAAGCCGACAGGGGCCTTCTTTCTGAGTTTTCGTATTCTTTGCATCTTGGGCTTGCTTTGTTGTGTTGCTTGTTTGGTTTAGGGTTCTGTATAGTTCTGCTTGAGTCTACGCACGTTTGGCTTCAGGGCTTTAGGTTTCGGGTCTGTTTGGGTTTGCGGCTGTAGCACCCTTGAGTTTTTGAGGCTCTCTTGCGTCGGCGCTGCTTCATGAAACTTCCATAATAGCATGGGGTAATACGCGGCACCAGACCGATGATGTGGCGGACGCAGCGTGCCTAGTTGAGTTGCCATTCCATAGCTATGGTGATAATGGTGCAAGATGCTGCCTCACTATGAACTCTGACCCTAAAGTCACGCAATGCTGGTAGTTGCCGCACAGCGGCTGCAAGCGCGCATCGCAAAGTGATAGGTTCTGATAGCTGTGTGCAACACGTCAAGTTTTGGAATCTAGGATCTCCATCCTCTAGAATGAAGCAAGCAAGAAGGAGGAGCCAGGAACAAGCATATAAGAACGAAGTCATGAACGACAAGAGCAGTACACCAACAAGAACAACTAGAGCAAGAGAGCTTTCGACCGCGTGTCAAAACCGTTGCAGTAGGACCGACATCAAAGTAACGGCTTTTTCGAGAGCAGGGATGATGTCATCAGCTTCGCAATAACCGATGATACTTGTCGCTGGCCAATACTCTCACTATAATCGACTATGATGTATTGCGACATACTATAACCTACTCTGATGGTAATCTACTATAATCGATTGCAATACTATGTACTACAATAGACTATAGTACCATCATTACCCCCACCATCCTCACCAATGCAGCCAAACGTAAGCAGCCAAGCCATGTCAAGCATCCGCCAGCCTGCACCCCCAACTCACCCTCGAAGGCCCGGAGAGGGGAGGCGGTGTAGAGAGACCAGTCCTTTGACAGCATGTTGGTGACCTATAAAAATACGTAAATACATATATATATATATATATAGTAACCGTAACTGCTGAGGTCTAGGGTTCGCTAGAAGGAGAAGTCGCAGAATCTTGGCTATGGGGTTTGTGCTGTAGGCTTCCATGGCTTTCGTTGTGCTCTTGGAGGTTTAGGGACTTTGGCTGCTTCTTTTCAGCTCATAGCCCAAACAAACCTAAAGGCTTAAAGTTTCATGGATGGGTGTATATGAAACCCAGAAAGCTAAGTTCACAAGCCCAAAAGAACTATACGTCCTAAGCCCGTACCTCGACCCTAAACCCGAACTACAAACTCCGCTAGTAAGCCTTGAGGGACAGAGGGCTGCGGGTTTAGAGACTTCGAATCCAAGAGGCACCCCACGCAGAACCGGTGAGGCCATCCTGGAAGAACATACCTTGGTGCATTTGGGGATGTTGGTTCTGTCACACACACACAGTGGTGCTTCTGCACGGCTGGTGGAAGTTTAGTAGAAGCGTCCGGAGATGCAACCCAACATTGTAGAAGACAGGTGTGGCTCAAGCTCGGATGTTGGAGTCACAGCCAGCAGCAAAAGGGAACCTGCCAGTCTACGATCTATGATACTCTAATTGCGTCCTGCTGTCCGATTGAATTGCCTGTGCTTTCAGGAAGTTCGAGAAACTTCGAGCAGGCGTGGCGACGCCAAGGTGCCGATGATGGCCATCATGGCCAGTCTGCCGTTGGCAAGCTCCGCATTCAGTTTCTTCTTTCGGGCCTGCAGTCAGCCCTGATAGAAGGATCGCGGTGGCCAGCTTATGTAAACAAAACAAAACTGGAAGCAACATCATCAACACCCTTCAAGTTGAAAGAGACGCCGATAGAGCCCACATAGACCAGGGCCTTAAAAACTTGACTAAGGAACGCCCAAAATATTACAGGTAAATATTTAGGCCCCTATGTTAGCTCCTAAAAACCCGAAAGCAACGGGTAGTCGAGGCCTCGGGATCCGTGATGCCGGTGTTCATGATACCCACAGACCTGAGCTCTTGCTGCTTTTCGTGCTTCAGCTCCTTCTAAAGCTGGGCGTTGAAGTAAGTAGGCTGTAGGCTTTGCAACATAGGATGCTTAGGTTTGTATGTTTTGGTGGTTTAAGGCTTGGCCCGCTGGGCTCTTCGGCCACTCTTCTGGAGGGCCTGAGGGGTTGCGTGGTCTTATGTCGGACGCGGGCCAGTTTGAGGAGAAAGGGGCAGGGCAGCTTTGCCCTAAACCTACACGCTAAACCCTGCACTCCAGACTTTCGAGGGTGTCCTGACGTTACCGCGAGTACATGGATGTAGCTGTATAGACGGGACCAGCACCCGAACTGTCGTGGCGCCTCACTGTCATCCCTACTTGTCGGGTATCAGGGGGAACTAAAGGCTAACCTTTCTGGTTATATAGGGATTATGTAGGGGCTATACTACCCAAAAAAGGTTAAAGGTTACCTGCTCTACTACTAGGTACTAGGCTTCAGAGTCAAACACTTCAGGCCCAAGCACCTCGAGGCCTTGCTGGCGCTGCCAATTTGTCACAATGATCTAATGACCATGATCAGGGTTCAGGGTTCGGGGCTTAGGGTTCATCATCAACATCATCATCAGCATCATCATCATCCAGTCTTGATATAATCATTATCATCATTTAGTTTGGACCTTAGAACCCTCGGAAGATGCTCGCAAGTAAGATCTCCTTCTTCGGCATCGACAGGAACATGGAACTTCGTACGGGCATACCCAGTCCTGCTACTGCTCCTCCTCATGATCATCCCAAGCTGCAAAAAAGTCAACACCCAAACCGAAGGCTTCACGAATAATTCGTAATAGCGTCGACTATCCCCCAAACCCGACTCGAACGCCTAAGGCCCCGAGAACCCACAAGCCGTGACACCCTTCAGAAGCCTTTGGAGGAAGCCTCCGAGACACCCAAATCAAAAGCCTGAATAAGCGCCAGTACTATTCCTTTGGGTTCCTTAGTATACTGCTACTACAATAAACCCCTAAACCCTGCTGTACTTAGCAAATTATACTCCTACTACAATACACCCCAAAGTCCTGTTGAAATTCCTTCGAGAGTATTCGAACTCTTGAGGCCCGTTTGTAGCTGCCACTGCTACCAAAGCAGCCTCAACCCCAGAAAACCGGCGCCGTAGTTGCCGGGCTCGTTGTTGACCTAAGGCTTAGGGCTTGGGATTGAATTTCAGGGTTTGGGGTTCATTACAGGGTCCGAGTAAGAGTGGGGCTTAGGATTTAGAGCTTAGTTTGGCTTGGCTTCGGGGTTCTTTCAAGGGGCGAGAACGAGACCTAGGAGGGCGTCGAGGTTTGGAGTTTTGTGTGTGTGTGTGTGTTTTTGATCACGCCTGTGCCTCATCGGCTATGGGGGCGTGAAGGTCGGAGACTTCAAGAAGTGTGTATACATACATGTATATTATACACATTCACATTACTATCACAACAACAACTGCTACAACTACAACTACAACTACAACTACAACTACAACTACAAGAACAAGTACAAGTACAAGTACAAGAACAAGAACACAAGTACAAGTACAAGTACAAGTACGTACACGTACAAGTACAAGTACAAGTACAAGTACAAGTACAAGTACAAGTACAAGTACTAGTACTAGTACTAGTACTAGTACTAGTACTAGTACTAGTACTAGTACTACTACTACTACTACTACTACTACTACTACTACTACTACTACTACTACTACTACTACTACTACTACTACTACTACTACTACTACTACTACTACTACTACTACTACTACTACTACTACTACTACTACTACTACTACTACTACTACTACTACTACTACTACTACTACTACTACTACTACTTCTACTTCTACCTCTACTACTACTACTACCACTACTACTACTACTACTACTACTACTACTACTACTACTACTACTACTACTACTACTACTACAACTACAACTACAACAACAACTACTACTACTACTACTACTACTACTACTATTACTGCTTGTTGTTCTTATTCTTACTCCGTGTAGTAACTATATTCCTTACTTCAAGGGCTGTGGAGTCTCTGAGAAGGCGCCTGCTCGTTGTAGATGTTCACCTCTACGATTCCAGCGAAGCCCACGATCTGCAGCCAGCCGAACGCAGGGACCTGACAGCTCTGTCTCCCGAAAGGAGCTCCCCAGCTCAGTTTATGGCAAACGTTCTGGTTTGGGGGGTTGAGCTCAGGGCTTGGGCTCAGGGTGAGCTTGGACTAACGTCCAGCTTGAGGTTTCTTCCTAGAGCTTCTAGAGTCCGAAGACTGATGTGTTGCCGTCACCCCGCGCTCCTTTCTTCTGGCATCTCCTGTCCAGGTTGCACCCAGCTTTGAGCTGGGCCTTCCCAGAAACCTCGCATTGCAAGCTCGGAAGCACTTGTGCACAGGTTCTGTACAAGCTAGGCCCCTTTGCAGGCCCTGTACAAGAGGGGCTTCTGCCAGGCTGTCGTCGTAGCTGAGCAGCCAAATGCTGGCAGAAGCGAAAATTTTAAGACTTACTCATTTGCCCTGCTGCATCATCATGGATCGCTTCTTCTGAGTCTTCTGCATCTGTGTCTCCTCATCGCCGTTGGGCTTCCACAGCCCTCGGTGCAGGACTTCTGCCGCTGCATCATGAACCTTCTCCCAGCCGTGGAAGCGGCCGCGCTGGCTCAGCGTGCCGACCGCATTAGGAAATGCGTGATGGACGTCGTGGAAGAGCATTTCGTTCCAGCGGTGCTTTCCTCCCAGCACCATGGCCATCACGTTATGAAGGACAGGCCAGGTGCGGCCCGGATCCTGTGCCAGGAACTCGTTCCAAGGCAAGCCTGGGCCGTAACATATTTTCTTTTTAGGGTTTGATTTTGTGAAGCCCTTTTTCAACTGGCAGGAGGAGGCTGTCAGACGGGCCTGCTAAGAGAGCTCCAGAGATATGTCTGAAGCGTTATGTAGTCGTGCGAGGAAAATGCGCTTTTGGTTTTAGGGTTTCGGTCGGGTTGCCCGAGCACAAGGTTTAGGCTTTCGCGCTTAGGCTGAACCTCTCCAAGACCAAACGGGAAACATAATCCCGAATTGAAGCCGCCTAGAAGCTATGAGTGAAGTTGGTGATGAACATCCAGGCTGCGGAGTAGCCGATGCGAGCGAAGAAAGACACGGTGAACATGAATCGCCACCCCTCGCTCAGCGGACGTCCCAGAGGGTAGGTGCCGAGAAGCCAGATGCAGGCCCAGAGCGAAAGCACGAAGGCGTTGTGCTTGATGCGGCGTGGAATCCACTTGCTCCAGAATTCCTTGTTGCACTTGCCCCCTGCACCCTCGTCAGGAAAGTGCATCCACCACTCCAAGGCGAACAAGGAACCTGTGTCGTTCAGGCCGAAGAAGTGAATCACGGGGATGAAAGGCACAGTGAGCAGGTACTTGTACCAGTTGGAGCTCCATGGCCCAGCCCACTGCTGCAGAGCATAGTGGAACTCCTCGGGGTCCCAGCCGAACTCGCCCTGGATCAGCAAGTCCACCGTGGAGGCGTGATGCCTGTTGTGCTCCAGGACGAATTCTTCCCACGGGAGGGAGAAAAAGTCCGCAAACGGATGAGTTAAGAAGCGCTGCCACTCGTAAACCGGGAAAGTGGCGCCATGCATCACATCGTGATCAATGTAAATGTTCTGGATGGCGATGTAAGAGAAAGGGAGGCCGAAGCAAAGCGTGCAAGTCCACCAGTAGTCTGGGAAGCATGCCAAGGCCACACAGTAGCCGATCACCATCAGCACTTGGCTCACGAAGATTGCGGTGAGCACATTCCACATGTATATCATCTGCTCCTAATTTTGTGAAGAGCGAAAGTGAACGACAGCAGGATGCCAAAGTCCTAGCTGCCTATCCTAACTATGGGGGGGAAGTCAAAGAACAGCACGTCTTGGACAGCACATCACCAAAAAAAGAAAGGACACGAAAGTGCAGACAGCAGGATCAGTAAAGCAAGACAAATGAAAGTTCCCCTGCGCATCCAGAATCACCGAACTCTCACGACTCCAGAAAGAGACAGCCGCCCCCGAGAGAAACACACAGCAAACAGAAAAGCTCAGATTTAGCCAAAGCTCCGGTGTGATCTTCGTGAACAAGAATGCCAGATTCTGCGGCATGGGGTCTGGCTTGTTCGGAGTGGGGAAGAGCCGGTTCGTCTTCAGGCTCCTGTTCTCGTTGTTTTTCTGAACGGAGAGCATCTTGTCGCTGCTCTGGGCAATGCCTGCTGCGTTAGGGTCCCCCTCGCCCGGCAGAGCGTTCTTAAGAGCTGCGATCTCCTTGGCTGACTTCTGAACCCCTCCTGAATGTTAAACTCTTAGCCAATTTATTGTAGTTCATATTAATATAGAAACCCTCAAAGTGAAAGTCCTAAGAGCCAACCAGAAGAACGCCAAGTCTCGTGGTCATGTTCGTACTTCTTCTTCCTTAGTCGCTGACTTCATAAGCCCCAAAACATGTACAATTTCATTTCTATAGTGGGTAATGGTATCCCAAAAAGTGTAAAGTGTATCCACTCAGCTACTAAGCTTCAGCTCCTCGAGATACTCATCTGCTCCATAGAAGATCGATGCCTTGCTGTGGGCGGCCTTGCCCAGGAGCGGAGCGTTGGTTGCCATGGGCACAACGGCAACTGAAAACTGAAAACTTCGGTTAGACTTCGAGACTTCCAAAGTCCTGCCTTGAGCAAAGCCGGGCTTAACCTTTTGGGTTCATACAAACAAACACAGTACGAACAATAACTCATCATCATCATTCTCACGGTGGTACTGACCATGTTCATAAAGAATATAACAATGATACTCGCGCTATAATGAGCAGACTAACAAGTGCAATGTCATATTGATGTAGGGTTTTTCGGGCAGAGCTCTGGAGATGCAGGGGCTTGGCTTCGCGGTATCGGGTGATCGGCTCAGCCCTCGAGCCCCGCTCTGAAAACCAGACAAGAGCGAGGCTGAAATCGAAAGGGCCCCCTGGGCTCGAAGGGCAAAGTGGTCGACTCCCTGCAACATCCACCAAACGAGGAGGCGAAGATTTTTCCATCCCTCGCCCTCATCACACTGATCTTGCAGGGTTTAGGGTATTTAGGGTTTAGGGCAACAGCGACCACAGCACTGGCTATGACCTCACACATCAAAACGGAAGGTGCAAGCTGTGAGTAGGCCAAACCGAAAAAGCACCAGCTCAGGCACCTTGCTGAACGCGCTGAGGCCGTTGGGGACATCTGCGAACCTGCCAAGGTGTCTGTCCCAGAGATTCGAAGATCTTGCAGGCAAGATTGTCTATCTTGCCACATCATGTCCATGATTTAAGTTTGTAGTCAAGGGCTCCATTTTTTGCCATGGAGCTTGATGTCCAGATACTTGGAGAGGTAGCCCGGGAAGCGCCAGTATTCCGGGAGGATGTAGCCAATGGTCGCGAACATGGCCACGCGGCCATGCCTCTTGGAAGCGCCATACCCCAAACCCGAAACGCAAAATTACAAAAGTCACGGAACACGAAGACAAGGAATCCTCCACGTGGAAGAGTCTTATCAAAGCGTCGCATCACGAAGTGTCGGGCAACGCAAAGTCCTTTTGGTGCCGATCAGACAGCAGAAGCTTCTTGTAAAAGGATGGCGGGTTTTTGTACCTAGTCGGTTGGCCCTAAATAGCCTAAGTAGAAGAGGCTTGCAAGAACGTAAGTACATGTAAGTATACCAGTTGGTAAAGAGGACTCGTTGTGTTAAGAACCACTCGCATGAAAGCACTTCGACTTCACCTCGCGGCCCTACTTGGAGGTTCATGGTGACTTATAAGTAGGGTTTCAAGTAGGATAACTAAATCTATAACCAATATGAAGGGACTTAAAACCCTTCTTATAGCTATCCATGAACCTCCAAGCAGGACACCAGAAGCAGAGTTGCACCAGTCCGACTGCTTCGGCCCCGATTCCCCCATATCAACTAGGGTTCCTCATTATAAAGCTACCATAATGTACCCCTCAACCCAGTTCTGATTATCATAAGGCCCCCTAGATTACTTGGAGGTTCATGAGTAGTTATAAGTGGGGTCATAAGTCCCTTAATATGGGTAATAACTATAGTTATCCTACTTATAACCCTACTTATAAATAATGATGAACCTCCAAGTAGACCCTCTAAGATTGCTTCCCAGCTGCTTCAGTTCCACCTCGCGCCGGCGAGAGAAGTCCGCCATGTTGCCGCTAGAGGCAAGTCCCAAAGGGTCCCAGAAACCGACCTCGGGGACTTCTACAAGGGTGATGTGTAACTATAGAACCTGATGAATACAATTTAGTGTACTATGATATGTTATGATTATGATATGCTATACTATAGTATAGTAGAACATGAATCGCAGATAGTATAATCGAGTAGAGTGTAGTCTAACATGATATATTGGAATTTAACGGTGCGATATGGGTTGAAGGGTTCTACAGCGGTGGTGAGGCCGTGAGGGCTCTAACAAGGAGTTCTACCAGGGTGTCAAGGCTTCTCTCAGAGTTCGCATCGCGGGGGGCCTTACAAGGGTCTTATACTTGGAGTTTCATGGGTAGTTGCAAGAGCGGCTATACGTCCTTTAATCTGGGTTATAACTGTATGTACCCTACTTAGACCCCTATGCATAACTAACCATGAACCTCCAAGTAGGGTGCCATGACGGAGCTTCTTGAGTGTATCACCTTGCCCTCGCAGCTTCTAAAGACTGGGGGTCACCGGGAAGTTGTGACAGAGGGGCTTTGATAGCTGTTTGTCAAAAGTTCGTAATCGCATTCTGACATCCCACCCTTCTTGAACTCGTAAAATCGCAACACCCCAAACCTCCAAAGCCCCAAGCCTCTCAGGTTTCGGGTTTCGGGTTAACAGTTCAAGTCTGGCCGCGGGGGGCTGCACGCCGGTCTCATCCTCAAAGGCACGGAGGGGCGACTCCGTGTAGTTGGCCCTTACTTGAAAGCGATGGCTGGTCGAAGATTCTAGCTGTTTCCCGCTTTCATGGTTCGCGGAACTTGCGGCGACAAGAGCCTGAACCATCAAAGCCCTCAGATTGGTACCATCACACCCTGAACCCGAAAACCCCCCAAAACCCTACACGTAGCAGGGACTTTCAACAGTGTAAGTGACTTTGCAGTAAGTGCAGATCCCCACAATGTACAACATCAGGGGCCTCAATCGTTGAATGGGCTTTTGGTGGCTATGTGCTAGTTCAGGACTGCACGGGCATGATCCTAAGGACGCTCATCATGATAATAGTAATAAGAATAATAGTAATAATAGCAATAATAGTAATATTATAGTAATTTTATAATCATAGTAGTAATAGTAATACTAAGAAGCCCCAAGATGACCTTGGGTATAAGCTGAGCTCATGGATTTTGCTGGGCTCCCTGGCATGTCCTCAATATGCACACGGAAGGTAGGTCGGCCGTGAAAGGTGGCCGAACGCTTCGGGTTTGGGGTTTAGGGGTTTAGATGATAGAAGCCTTAGATAATCATCGCAGAGCCCTCCGAAACCAAAGACACTCTATTATTACTAGCCTTGTTGGTGTATATACTATCAACTGTCCTAAACAATAAACTCTAACCCATTATTACTATCCCTGCTAGTGTATGTATATAAAGTTACTTGTCTTAAACAAGCTATAACCCTAAACCGTATGGCTCTGAAATGCACGGCCACGGAACCAGTCGCCCCAGGCGGAGCCTGCTCGCAATCTCAAGCGCTGCGGGAATCAAAGGAACTTCGGTATCTACCTATAGTCTCCATTGTAGTTCCTTTCTTTGGTTTAACCAGTTTTATATTAGGGATCCTAAAAGGTAACCCCAAAAAGGAACTACAATGGAGACTATAGGTAGGTTTACCCTAACCCCAAAAACCCTACAGCTTTAAGGACTTATGTAAATGTAAAGAAACATTAGGGGACCCTAAAAGGTAGGGTTTTCAGGGTGAAGGTGGGGTTTAGGTTTAAGGTTTCGGGGTTTAGGAGGGGGTCAGGGTGTTATTTGGATAGGAAAAACTTACGGTGAGACAAAACTCCCATGAGGAGGGTACTTATACCTTCTACTCTCAGAGTTGAACTCCTGGTCGTAACCCGACCAGGGCCGAGACATGATTGCAAAGATCTATGCGGACTGAGCCAGGACACCTTGATTCTGGACCCCGAACCCTTACGGATTCAACTAAGCCTTTGCTATGGCTCGCACTAGTCTGACAAAATAGCAGTGAAGTCGCTGTCCCTGTCCAGTGACTAGCGCCCCCGAAGTATCAGAAGACCCACCTGGCCTGTGAGGCCATCCTGATAGAACATGCCTCAGTTGCCCAAGAGAAAACGGCTACAGAAGCACACAACTTGAGCTAAAAATGTGGGGCTTCGGTGGCACAAGCCCCAATGCAACCTGGCCCTGCAGCTATTCTGCTACTACTCCCCCTGCTCCTAACTATCAACTATTAACTACTATCTACTACCTTCCACTACTGGTACTACTACTGCTACTACTGCTACTGCTACTGCTACTGCTACCACCACTACAACTACCACTACTTCCAGCACCACTACGACGACCACTAGTGACTGCTTCGACTTCGACTTCAAAGACGATAGCTACTGCTACTGCTACTGGAACGGCAACTGGTATTGCGACGCTACTGCCACGTACTGCTACAACTGCGAAGCACCACGAGCACGACGAGGACATTGCGTGGAGACTACTGCAAGAAGCCCCGGACTCTGAACCTATCGCGTGCTCAGAGGTACCGATGATGGCCATCATGGCCAGCCGACCGTTTGCAAGCTCCTGCATCACGGGTCCATAAGGATTACTCTAAGCGGCAAAATGGGGGTTTAGTATAGGGGCCTTGATAAGTAGAATAGAGTTTTGGGCTCCTGCAGGCTTGGTCAAGTCAAGGCTTCCCAGTCTTCGCGCTCTGCAGGATGCAAGATGAAATTGCTGTAGCACAGCGCAGCGTAAAGCAAGAACCGCCAAGGCCGTTGTTGCCTGTATTTATAAGTATACATGCAGATCATATGCAGTATATGACCTCGTAGCTTAACAGAGCGTAGTGTAGTCTTACTACATACTCATACGAGCATCCCAACCGGCAGCCATGAACCCAAAGCAAAAGGGCCGGGTGGATTGAATATTCGCGTTGAGAGAGGCTTTCGGAATCCAAATTTTGAGGGACTGTCTTTCTGCTTCAGAATGGCCACACGATTGTTGCGCGCTGCGCCACCAGTACTCTCAAGGAACAAAGCAGCGAGCTACAAGCGGTCTGTGTCCCTTCTGGTAAAGGTGAAGCGGTGCAATGGCACAGCGTTGCTTGTATCTGCGATACAGAAAGAGATAAGCAAACTATGACTATGAGAACATAGCTACATGTGTATATATATATGTACACACACTGCATGCGCATGCTTCACATCTATATATCCAGCCATCACCTGTATCTGACTACCTTCCTGTCTACCTTTTTGCCTGTCTATGCCGGCATGCAGGTGTACGCGCGCACACACACACACAAGGCCGTCGACCTCTCTCCGTCTCTCTACCTCACCACTGAAAAGTTCTCATCGAACACGACAGAAGCGAACTCTCAGCCAGTCCACCCCAAACCCTTAACGCCCTAAACCCTCTGTAAGAAGCCCAAGGCGCCGCATTGAGCTTCTTCTTCTTCTCCTCCGGGTCCGCCGCGGTGAGGACGTACCAGCCGAAGTCGCCTGCAGCACTGCAAGCCCTAAACCCAGAGAGCCCAATACCCCTTAATTAAGGAATATGGCTTAAATCATATTATGCGCCCCCTTATAATTTAAGGTATATGGCTTAATTAAGGAATATGGCTTAAATCATATTATATGCCCCTTATAATTCAAGGTATATTGCTTAATTAAGGGGTATTGGGCTTTCTGGGAACTGCTCTTGGCTAAGTCTTATTTGGAGTTCTCAAACTATTGCGGGAGCCTAAGCCAAAGGAGTTTTTTGATGATCACAATAGGGTTTGTGGTAGATTTAATACAACTGCATGAATAAGGAGCCCTGAAGACATGTTGAGGTTGCAATCCATGTTGTAGTCCCCTTTAAAGGAGAAATCTCTCTCAAGGCTTATTCAAAGTCCCTCTCTTCAGCCATGGTGTAAGGCAAACCCGAAAACCACCGAGAACTCCAAAGTCGAGTCGTTGAGTGGTGTGCTTCCCCGTTTCAGTTGGGCATGCAGAAAAACCCCCAGCCGCGACAGGCACGCAAACCCTCTTCTAATTGTTCAGGCCCCTATACTACTTAGAGCCTAAACCCTATACTACTTATAGAGCCTGAACCAGAAAACACTCCCACAAAACCCTGAAGCCATGGCATCTATTAGGGCTTCACGGTTTTAGGGTCTTAGAGTTTTTCGGGTTTTCGGTATTTATTGTGAGCTGCTTCCCCCCCCCTAAACCCTAACCCCGCCCCGTCCTGTCTCCCTAAACCCTAAACCCCCCTCCCCCCCTGTCTTGGGGCTCTTGGGCTCTTGGGCGAGGTGCCAGGGCGGCCGCTGGCGATGTCGGAGCCCGCCCCACGGCTCACCTGCTATTGGGGCCTTAATAAGTTGCTGGGGGTTTAGGGGTTAAGGGTTTTGGAGCCTTAAGGGTAGGGGTTAGGGTTTTAGGTTTAGGGGCTAGGGTTTTACAGCATCAGCTGGCAGGTAACACATCAAAAGCAACATAAAGCAACACTTGCAATCGGAATAGCAACACCGCTAGCCGGCATTGACAACAATGGCAGCAGTGATAAGCATTACTCGTGCTAGTACTCACACTTGAAAAAGGTACTGCCTGCTACTACTGCTGGGACCTGAATCAATAGAATAAGGTCCTGAGCTCCCAGTATCGTATAATTCTAGTAAGGGACCCTAAAGAATAATACTGGTCATCTTTGAGGCCCCTATAATTACCACCAACGGAACCGGCACCTCGCACCAGGCCATCCAGAGCAGGATCTGGGTCCAGCCACCTGCGGCGAATCGACTGCCTACCATAGGGGCAGTAAGAATGAGAATAAGGGGTTCCTTTAAAGGGGTCTACAAGGGCTGCTGTAAGGGCTATTCTACGGACTTAGTCTAGTATAGGGCCGTAATAATTAGAACAGGGTTTTGGGGCCCATTACACTATACTTATAATAAGGAACCTCAACGTGGTACTGGCAAATATCTAGGCCCTTATAATGGGGCCTCGGCCTTACCGGGCTCAGGGTCTTGCCTTTGGACAGGGAGGGGCTTTCAGCTGGGGCTTCGGCTGAACAAGGCTGCAAGAGTAATTTTTTGCGAGGATGCTGGAAAAGAAAGAGACTCATGCAAGGAGGGTAAGCTTTGGGGCTCTGTTGGAGGCTTAAGTTAGTTTAGGGTTTAGGGTTTAGGATTTAGGGGTTTAGGCTTGTGAGTTTTTTTGGGCATTGTGCGGCATCTAGGTTTTTAACGACTGGATCTCACATGTCTACTCTTGAGTCCCCCGAGTCGTTGAAATGCGGTTTTCCCGGCTACATACGCTGGTTATCAGTTCAGACAAGAACAACGGTGATACGGCAGATGATCAACAGGAAGAACACCACACAATTACGAACACAGAGCAGGAAAAGGTTACGATCACAACAACAACCGAATAAGTAAGGGAAATGGCACGCATCTGTCGCCCCATACACATTTGCAACACCCTAGAGCCCGATGTCCGTGATGCCGAAGCCAAAATGCAGAAAGGGACGCTCTGAGGAAATCAGATCCCTTATAACCGGCCTGCGGGAACCTTCGAGATGGCTGCCAAGCCATTGGGGATGTCGGCGAACTTGAGGCCGCTAGCGGGATCCAGGTAGCCTCTCTTCCTATTAACTCCTTAAACACAACCTGTAAAACTCTGGAAAACAGTTATAAGAACTTCTTATAACTGTTTTCCAGAGTTTTACAGGTTGTGTTTAAGGAGTGTGCCTCTTTCCGAAGAGCGTAGAGTTCGCAGGGTGTTACGCAGGACTTAGCTGTGGATTTTACGGCTTCGGGCTTGCAGTGAGCCGCAAAGAGGTGGAACATGGGTTCAGGATGATTCTTGGTATGGTTCCTTATGCTTTCTAGGGTTTAGGGTTCAGGGTTTTCCCTTCGAGGGCATGAGGGAATTCATGTTCCAACAAACTCTGGAAGAGTAAGACCATCAAAAGGGGGACTGTGCGGGCTTAAAGGGTCTTTTTGCCGGGTTCTAGGCATGGCTTTGTATGAGGTTCTAGAAAAGGTCGTTACACGGGGATCTTTCAAGGAATTTGTTTGCATATACCCTTAATATAGCTATTATATAGCCCATTATATGGCCCATTATATGGTAGGGGTCCCCATTAAGGGTCCCTCCTTTTCCCAAGTTCCTGAAGCCTGAAACCCCTCCCCCGACCTGGCCACTTGCCGGCGATTTCTGGGGTGATATAACCTCGGCAACTTGCTCATTGAGTGTTGCAGGACAGAGGCCTTTAGGGATGCTTAGCCTGTATGTTTAGAGCTTACGGGATCAGGTGCAGAGATGTGCATGGAGTAGCTTTGGCATTGCCGTTGACACGGTTTTTCTTGCACAGACCGTCGCTGCTGCTCGTTTTGCACAGTGTTGTGCAGTTGTAATATGCAGTGCAGCTGAACGCACATCACATGCTTGTGTATGGCTGTCACAAGCTTTAGTCTGGCGATCTATCGGATCACAGCTGCTGTCGTTGCCGTCGCTCCTGCTGCCAGTGCTAGGTAGACTCAATCCAGTTACCACATTCAGTATCTTCATGCTGTAGATCGGAAGCGGGCGATCTGGAAAGCCGTTACGGCTCACAGCCACTGCAGAATTCAGGATTGAACGAAACACTGTGGCAGTGTGCGGCAGATTCGCCTCTCAATTGCTCTAATTAGAGCCCTGATCCCGCTTAGACCCATCTAGAACGCTCCAGGGACCGCAAGAAGCACTCAGGTCGAGATACCCATGGTTGCTAGCATGGCGATGCGCCCGTGCTTCAGCTCTACAGAGCGTCGTCGCTGGAAAGCCTGGTGGGTGCGTTAGGGTTGAGGCTTGTATCTAGCAATATTATGCCCTTTTCGTCCTTATGTAAGCATTTATCTATCTATCTATATACCTATATATATATATATATAATATTTCATATTATATGTATATATATATACACACATATATGAAAGATGAGGGCCTATGTTAGATTTGTTGAGGTTAAGGGTCTTTGGGGTGTCCTGGACCGCATCGTCGGCTCAATCCCTGCAGGCTTGAGGTTTGAAGCTTTGGGGAGTCGGTCGTTGGGGGTGATTTGGCCTTGCATGCCTTCTGCATCACAGGCCATGCAAACCGCGATGAAGTGTGTCCTCCCCTTTACCAAACCGAGAACCGTCATCCATTATGGAAGGGTTTCAAGTCGTATGAAACAACTGTATAGCCACTAAACACTAAACTTAACCTGAATGCTCACAGACCTGCTCGTTCGCACTTCTTGAAAGCAGGGCACGCTTCGTAAGCCAGCCCAAGCAAGATTGGTTTGGGCTTTGTTGAAGGGCCATGGGCTTCCTACACCTTCTTGTAGGGGGTTCCGCAGGTTCACTTTCCAGGGCTTGCGGCTTGGAGGGTGTGCCTCTCTCAGCTTGAGGTTGTGTGCTTTCATGTAATGTAGGTTGCCTTAACAATTAAGAATAGGGTTTGGGGCCCATTTATACTATAGTTATAATAAGGAACCACCAAAATAGTATAGGTAATTATTGAGGCCCCTACATCAGGCTTATTTCTCACTGACATCGCGATCGCACATGCCAGACACCGGCCATTCAGAGGATTCGCCTCCACATCGCCATCTCGGGCGAGACCAAGGGGGTCCCAGAAACCGACCTCGATGGGATCCCGCTAGCGGATAGGATAAGAATATGCCTGCAAACCCTCCTCTGGTCATTTCTAGTTACCAAGAAGCCGCTGCCACACCCTGTGAAACTCTGTGCAACCATCAACAACCTCGTGGAACCCTACATATTCCAACAATACTTCTCCTCTGCGCCACCTATACCCGAAACGCTGACTGTAGACCCTGCCTATAGCCTTAGACTCTTTTGGAAGGTCCGTTAACTCTACACAGCTTCCTGTCGACGAAGTTTGAGATGTAAAACGTAACCGTATAGGGCCCCCTTGTTGAATCCTACGACCCAACAAGCGACAAAACACTCCCAAGACCCTCTACACTGAACCCCCAACCACCAAACCCAGAAACCCAACAAGCTACTGCTTGCCCTTATTCCGACCTCTACGATCCACAACACCTCCCTCTTTAGGCTTCGTCAACATGAGCTTAAATTGGTTGAACTCCTTGGAGGGCTAGGTTTTCCCCCCAAAGCCCCCAAACCGCAAAGCCCCAAACTCGTAAACCCTCAGCCCTTAAGGCCCTAAAACGTACGCCCCTCAAGCCTGAACCCCTGAAGCCCTGCACATCCCTTTAAATGACACCCTTATAGATCGCTTTAGAGGAACTAGAAGCCCCAAAATGCCCCAAAAGGGCCCTCCCAAGGCTTCAATGCCAAGGGTCGGGAGCCTGGACCCCGAGCTCAGACTCAAAGGCTCTAAGCCTCGGCTTGGGAATTTTCAGGCGCTTCAGGGGCTTTGGGGCTTTAAAGGGAACTAAAGGGAACTCCAGAAAGTTGGAATATGGATCAATGGTAGGATCCCCTATAATTTACCTTAAAGGGGTTACGATAATCATATTCCAACTTTCTGGCTTCTACTTTAATGATTAATGATCCCTAAACCCTAAACCCTAAATCCTAAACCCTAAACCTTAAACCCTAAATCTTGGGGGCTTAAGGGGCTCAGGAGCCTCGGGTTTTGGGGGGCTTAGGGGCTTCAGGGGTTTAGGGGTCGAAGGGTTTTGGGGGGTTTAGGGGCTTAGGAGTTGGGGTTTAAGGGTTTAGGGTTTAGAGGTTTAGGAGTTTCGGGGTTCAGCGCCCGAAATCCAGAAACCGAACAGAAAGGCTAGCTTCCTCGCAAATATGCAGGGGGTGATGGTCGCAACAATTTTGCCCAGAGAGCCCAATACCCCTTAATTAAGGAATATCCCTTGAATTATGAGGGGCATAATCTGATATAAGCCACATTCCTCAATTAAGGGGTATTGGGCTCTCTGGGAAGCAGCAGCAAGTTGGATCGCAAGACTACCAACAATGGTAGTTACGGTCAGAATAATGGTTGTACTACAGTCATATTCGTCGTTCGGTGGTGCTCATCGGGCTCAGGGTCATAAAAGGGCTTACGGTGTTAATTTCAAGATAAGCCAGAGAAACTTCGAGGGCGTGTCGCGAACAAGTATATGTTGAGGAAGCATGAGGAGAAAGTTCCCAATTAACCTCTTTCGGTTTTAGAGCATCGGGTTGACACACACACACACACACACACACACACACACACACACACACACACACACACACACACACACACACACACACACACACACACACACACACACACACACACACACACACACACACACACACACACACACACACCACCACACACACACACACACACACACACACACACACACACACACACACACACACACACACACACACACACACACACACACACACACACACACACACACACACACACACACACACACACACACACACACACACCTACCTGCAATCATCCTTGCCCGGCCACGCAGTGATGTTGGCCTTGGTGGCCACCTTGCGGCTGCTGCTGGCCTCAGGACTCAGGAGCTTCTGTCCAGGGCCACATCCCGGGTTTAGGAGAATACGCATGTGAGGATTTATGATGGGCATCATCATTGTAATTAATCATCATGATCATCACCATCACCATCACCACCATCATCAGTATGATCACCATCACCCTCGTCATGGCCATGCCCATCAACCACATGGATGCACGCAACTTATGCAGCCATGCATTCATGACCCCATTCATGGATTTGTTCATTCATCCATCCATCCACCCATCCCATCGATCCATCGATCCATCGAACCATACAGCCAGTCATCCAGCCATCCATCCATCCGTGTATATATGAACATAGAGATAGAGACAAACATAGAGAGATAGATGGAGAAAGAGGCACAGATATGGATATAGATATGGATGGCTGTGGAATTGGATACAGCAGATGCACACATACATACATACATACATACATGCATGCATGCATGCATGCATGCATGCATGCATACATATTATATACGTAGTATTTACACATACGCACAGGAGAGAGTGGATACACGTGCCCCGATGCAGGAGCTCCCAACTAACTTCGGCAAAGTCTCCGCGTAAACCGCGCCCGCCGACACCGCGACGAGGGATGCCGCTGTCAGGGGGGCGCTAGAAGACGCCAGTCGGGCCTAGCAGAAACACAAACAGTTGCTCACGGTTTAGGGTTTAGGGTTTATAGGGTTTAGGGTTTATAGGGTTTAGGGTTTAGGGTTAATAGGGTTTAGGGAGTTCCTTATCCAAGAATAAGTCAACATGCTTTCGGCTGCATGCACACAGACCGCCTAAACGCGAAACCCTCAACAGTCCCAAACCCCAGACCAATACCTCCCTGTCAGCCGAGCAGTGGGAGCCTCCTTTGCCTGTGCCTGGGTGCTGGCACGAAGAGCACCTTTGGGCCACTGGCTGTTCAATATCGAATAAGTATCTGATTGCGGTATTGTATAAAATACACAAGTATGCATTACCTATGTTATACAGTATATGTTAGAAAACGTTGAGTTTTTCTAGGTATAAGGGTTAGCAAGAAGGCTTTCTAGGGTTTGTACCGAGGATTAGAGTTTCATCTGGGGTATATATCAATCGGTTTTTGGGGTTTGGGGCTTTCTGGGTGTTGGGTTTTGTTTGGGTTTACCATTCAAAAGGGCTTGCGGATTATGATTAGGGTTCTACGGTTGAGGGGTTTGTGTAGAACGATTTCCACTGTGAGTTTCCGCTGTTGAGGGCATTTGGGCTGAGGCTCTTGTGGGCCTAAGGCTTGTGCGGCCGAGACATGCGGGAGTTTGCGAAAATGGGGGACCCTAATCTAAAACCCCAGATTAGTAGGATCCTTATAATAGGGACCCCAAAGTATGGCGCCCCTAATTTTCGGAAACCCCCATGTGTGTGGAACTTGAGCAGCTTACGGATGAAGGGGTTGGTGGCTTTCGACATCCTTCTTTCTCATGTCGTTCGCAGGCAAGCTACCCGGCGAAGGTCTTCATTCGTCCCACTTTCGGGTCAACTCGTCTCTTTCAAGTCCCGTCAACTCCCCGCAATACCCGAACTGAAGCGGTGTTCTTGTGATGGAACTTTGCTACGTATCCCCCTGAACAAGGATACCCTAGATTCCAGGTCCCAAAAAGCGAAACCGGATGACTATTCCGGTAGTATGACACATTTAGGCTCCGACCCCGAACCCGAAACCCTGAGGAAGCAGGCCCTAAACCCTAAACCGTGGCAGAAAAGGTCGAGACGCGTCGGGGCTGGCTGCTGGTTCCTGAAATGAAGGCGCTTCCCGCCACGACGCCAGCCAGGCCTGGGATATTTCTTGTTTTAGGGTTTAGGCTTTAGGGGTTTGTTGTGGGATTCTCGTGTCAACGACTTTACACTTCTTTTTTTTGAACGCTCGTGTCTTTTGGTCTCGGCTTCAGGAAACCGCGACAACTACCCAGAAGCCCGAGTCCTGACTCGCCCTTGACCCTGACCTCAAGAAAGCTGAGCGCCGCACCCACGGCCGCAACACTGCGCTTGGATGCCATCCGTATAATAAGGAGAAAAAGGGGTGCGGATGGCTGTGCCTTATGCACAAAAACTGCCTGAGCCCAAACGGCTCGAACAAAAACGAAGGCTTCTTCTTTTGAGTACTACCAGTCTTCGTATGACTACCAGCAAACTATAACTGTCTCTGTGCGCTGCGGCCTTTTTTTCGGGTTCAGCTGGGGGTTCACATGGAACCTCTTTGAGCAAAGGGCTTAGGGTCTGTGATTTAAGCTCTCGGGTTTTGATTGGGGCTTGGGGTTTAGGGTGTGGGGCGTAGGACACTGAATCTTCAGGCTGAAGGTTGTTCACGGACTTCAAGAGCCTGAACCGGTACAGTCAAGGAAACCCAAATCACAAGAAGTAAAAGGTGGAGAGGGCTGTGCCCTTGTTACGTAGTCCAGTCTTAGATTGTATTGTTATGGTAAAGTATGCCCTCTTGTATTGTATTAGAATTGAGGTATGAGGCCTCTGAAGATAAACTAGTAACTAGATTCACAGAGAAGCAATCGCAAGGGATTATGATGCCCAGCTCGTCTTATACATATGTTTTATCTGGAAATGCGCTGAGGGTGTAGAGTTCACGGGTTAGGTGTGTCCAGAATACCTCATTGCTCTAACCAGGAGCCTCAATCCTTTTGGCGGCGCACGCACGGATCGCAAAATATCTGCAGTGGTTGCTTTCGTCGAAGGCTTTAGGCGCTTGGCAGCCACATCGCCGGGCCAGTTGAACCCACCTGAGATAGCAGCATAAGGGCCTAAATGGTTACAACAGAGTATTTTGGGTATGATCTAGGATAATTATCATAAGGAGCCCTAAGGAACAATATGGGTAGTTATCCAAGCCCCCTATATTACTCAGTTTGGGGGGACGGGACGGCTGGCCGTGTACAGGATGGAAGATGCTCTACACGAAGAAGATGCAGGATCGATGTCCGGCGGGAGTTCCGGGACCCCAAAGCTTCATCTCCAGCAATGAAGTTCAAAAGGTACTTGCGTGGCATTAATCATTAGAATAGGGTCCCTTGAAGGGTTCCTTTAAAGGCTTACTCTAAGGTATCTATAATAGGGTTCTATGATCTAGGGGGCATTAATCATTCATAATCTTGAGTCGGGGGTATAACATAGTGCCAACTGTGTGGGAGCATAAGGCGCCACTGTTGCTCACTGCCCAAGCCACTATATCCTCTAGGCTCCGTTGGAACCGGGGCTGGATATGGGAGTTGCAGGGATAAGGGATCGTGCCCTCATCAAAGGATCCAATGGCACGATCCCTTTGATGAGTGCTGTGTCCTCCAGCTGCAGTAAAACAGGGGCCGGAACAGTTAGAATACGGTTTTGGGGGTCCGCGGACCCCTTTGGTACAGTTTGGGTCCCGTTCTCTGCGGCTAAAGGGGCAGTGCCGTTCTGGAAAAGCATGGCCATCAACGCGACCATCGCAAGTCGTCCGTTCGCCAGCCTCACTGACTTTTTTGCAGCTTCATCTGGCGCCTAAATAACTCGATTAAGGCTTTGGGTGTATATTTTCGATAAAACCAAGCGGAGAACCCTCAGCCTTGGATCTGCCTTCCTCCTGAGAGCTTGCGGAAGCTGACTTGTCTCGATCATTTTAGGGGTTCAGGGCTTAGGGCTGACTCATGGTCAAAATCGGCAGCTGCCATATGGACTCTTCGTCTTCGCCCTTCTTTCAGCAAAGTTGAACTCCAAACCCTAAAAGCCCTAAACCACCATGGCCAAAACGTATAATTGTGAGAAACGTCCATCACAAAGTGCTTCGAATTTACACGGGCTTCGTGCCAAGGATCTGCAAGGACCACTATTGGCGCTACTGATGCAGGACCCTGTATCCCTCATTCTCTGGCGCACGCTCTTCCGACGACCGGTATCGATGCTGCGGCTTTTCGCGGCTCGCCAACACCAAAACACCGTCGGAACCGAACAACGGTCGGAGTTCTGCCATGACCGCTCCAAGAGCGTCGAAAGCACGCTCTTGTATATCTGTATATACTGTACCCTAAGGCCCTAAAGTAGTTCCTGTTTGGGGTTCATATTTAGAATCCTATTGGGTAATCCCAAAAAAAAACTACTTTGGGGCCTATGGGTAGTATATACATGCATGCATCTTCCTCCACAGTTACACGGTACCATCCTTGACAAGGCACTCTGCGGACAGCTTGGTCTTCTTGACCTCTGCGTCCTGGAACTCGATGGGGTCGACATTGATGATGAAGTTCTTGCCTAAGCTTTGGGTGTAGTAAGACATTAAATCCTACACTCAAACCCTAAACCCCAGGATATAGGGTGTAGGACCTTGTAGCCTTGTGGGCAAGCAGCTGTGAACCATGTCAGAAGAAAATTGGAGGGCCTTATTCACTCGACTGGGGTTTGCGGGTAAAGAAAACAAGTGCATAAAGACGCATATACACACATGGTGTGTTTGTTTAGTATGTTGTAGCATATGATCGTACACTATGACTATAATACACCACAGTATAGTTTATAGTATAAGACCGTATTAAAGTTTCGGACTAGTTTCGGGTTTAGGGTTGAGGGCTCCGTAGTACCCAGACACTCCTAGGGTTCATTTAAAGGGATCTGTAAGGGTTCCTGTCAGGGGTGTAGAAAAGGTATAGGGTCTGACATGGAGATCACAACTCGAATCCGAAAATTCAGGAAGGCAAATTTTTAATATGTTGGCCTTAACAAATAGAATAAGGTTTTGGCAAGATGACACCATAATAATCTGAAGGACCTCCCAAAATAGTATAGGGAATTACTCAAGCTACTATCGTAGTGCTTGAAGGTCTAGAAGGGTTTCGGGGGTAAGGACCTGCAAGTCGATGAAGCTTCGATGCAAGCGCGGAGAGCCACTGGGCAAAGCGGGGCCCTAAACCTCCGAAACACCCTGACTTCCATGATCCCGAGAACACTCCTAACAGAACAAAGAAGATGTGGAATCTCCAGAGGCCACATACTGAAGAAACACCAACTCAACGTCAACACATGGCACCTGCCGTCAACCAGAGGCTTGCAGCGTTGAGCTCCTCTACAACTGCAACCCCTAATCCCGTCTTGTTGCTTCAGGCTACCATCCATACTATACACACGTGAACCAGAACCATCAACGCCTCCACACGCAACCATTTCGTAAGTGGCGGACCCCAAATACACATGTGTACATTTATACATTTACATAAACAAACATGTATGGATGCATGCATGCATGATGCCGACATCGTTTTTTATGGGGTCGGGCTATTAAAGCGGACTAGGGAAACCGAAGTTGGGGAGTTGGGGGTCAGACATCGTGTTTTATGGAGATCCGGGCTCAGAGATTAGGGGTTACAGGGCCTATGAGGGGGATTACCGACACCCCAACCCTAAACTCCTAAACCCTAAACTCCTAAACCCTAAACCCTAAACCCTAAACTCCTAAACCCTAAAGCCCGTTTCCTTTCAGTTCAGCCGCCAACGCCCAGGAAGCCGTAGCCCTCGAAGTCTCCCGGGGCTCGCTTGGCGTCCTGGCACCGAAGGTGCCAGGAGGGTCGAAGGGTCGGGTCTTTGATACCCATTATATAACCCATCATATGGTAGGGGTCCCCATTAAGGGTCCCTCCTTCTCCCCTTTGATATATAGTAAAAGCCAGAAAGTTGGAATATGATTATCCTAACCCTTCTATGGTAAATTATAGGGTTATCCTACCATGAAACCGTATTCCAACTTTCTGGAGTTCCCTGTAGGAGGTGCTTTTAGAGCCTCCAAAAAATATGAGTAAGTAAGATCCTCTTAAGCCCAATATAGTCTTCCTGGGTGCCTCTTAAGGGATATCAAAGAGGCTCGGGCTTACGGTTTAGCGGTTTAGGGTTTATGGGGTTAAGGCCAAACTGGCTCGTCCTGGTTGGTGTTAAGGGATATCAAAGGGGCGTTCTCATGCCCGGGGTGCCAGGAGAACGATACACCTCGCAGTGCGGAGGTTCCGGCTCTCTCTGAAGGTTCGCGCAGCTCAAGCTTAGGCGATAAGGCTTGGGGTTTAGGGTATAGGGTTCAGGAGCTTCTTCTGTTCTTTTCTGCTGCTGCTGCTGCTGCTGCCAACAACGCCTTTCTACCTCGTTACGGTAATGATGAAGATGCTGATGAACAGCGATTGTGACTATGCTATAGACCCGACTCATCCAGATGGTGCCTAGTGCTAAGCACGCTCAGCCCTAAACCATCCTAAACCTTCAAGCAGATGCCTGGCGCCAGAAGTAGCCCTCGTAGTGGCCAATGAACAGAACGATCTGCAGCCATCCCTCAAGCGGGACCTGCCGGTGGGCCGACGGCTGTTTCTGTTAAGAGCGGGCATTTCTGCATTTTCAGAGGGCTTCGAAGGGAGCTTGAGCGGCGTCACCAAGTGCCCCCAAACCCCGGCTTCGTAAACAAGGCCATATGATCAACAGAAAAGGAAACTGCTTAGAATATTCCGCGAATTTCAGCCTTCGAGCCCTTGGGAAGTTGAGATCCTTATACTGGGCTTTTCAGCAACCAGGGAGAAAAAGTATAAGCGGTTCTTTCATAATGGTTCCTTTGAGAAAAAAGTATTAAAGTATGGTACTACAAAGCTAAGTATTAATTTCAAAGTAGACCAGGAATCCTACGAGTTGGGGCTTTGGTCAGGTCCCTTGCTGGTATATGGGAGTTTCCGAAAAATTAGGGGTAGCTTATTTTGGGGTCCTTCTAGTACGGATCCTACTATTTAAGGTACAATGCTAAAGGGCCCCCTCTTTTCAGAATTTCTCATAGAGGGCCCCTGTTTTCTTCTGAACCCACTCCGCCGGATAAGAGCAATGGCTGACTGGAGGCCAAAAGGGGGTTTAAGATTCTTGGGGTACGGATTCCTTAATATGAACCCTACTATGGGAACCCTAATCCCTACTAAAACCCCCATAGGCTAAAACCCCTTTTGGCCTCCTATGATGGTTACCCTTCTAGACCCCTTTAAAGGAATTTTATAGATTCCTTTAAAGGAACCCCTTATAGATCCCTTTAAAGGAACCCTAGGGATCCCTGAATGGCCCCAGGGGCGCCTTGGAGATCGCGGCAATGCCATGCGGCATGTCGGCAAACTTGATGCCCTTCTCCGGAGACCTCAGCTCGGGCTTCTCTTCCTAGGCCTCCTTAGGTTTAGGGGTTTAGGTTTAGAGTTTAGGGTTTAGGGGTTTAGGGGTGTAGGGGTTTAGGGTTTAGGGGTTTAGGGTTTTGGGGTGGGCTTTAGGGGTTTAGGGTTTAGGCCTCCAGAACCCGAAACCCTATAAACCCTAAACATTGCAGCTGAGTTGCAGGTAGCCTGGCCATCTGAAGTACTCCGGGATGATGTAGCCGGTGCAGGCCAACATGCCTCAACGAACTGTGCAAGCTAGTATGAAAGCGCTTCACAATCAGAAGAACTAGCGCAGCTATGAGGGCGCTGCTTATCGTTTCTAAGCGGTATTAAGGGGTGGCTCAGGGGCCTTAATGATTAGTTTTGGGGTGTACAATTCTGATATATTCTGTAAACTATACATACATATGTACATACACATGTACATACATACATGAATACATACATATTGGAGACTGCAAGGCAGTAGTCGTACCGGCACCAATGATTCCAACCCCTGTGTTGTCCTCCGATCTCACCCTTTGCAATGAGCCTCCTCTAACTTCATCAGCCCCACCCTGAGCCCATGCTAAAGCATCGGGCGACCATCCATGTCGTCACTCTCTAGCGACCCTGGTAACTTTAGTAGAGCATGAAGCCCTAAACCCGAAGTCCGAAGTTTCGGGCCAAGGGGCAGATGCGTCCGTGCTTCAGCTCGACGGCCCTTCGTCGCTTGAACGTGTCCATGTCGCCATCGGCGGAAAGGCCAAGGGGATCCCAAAATCCCACGGGTGCCTGAACGCCCAGCTCTCCTCGCAGGGGGAAGCTACATTGCCATGCGGAGGAGGGAGGGTCGAGCCTTGTAACATCGATTTTGTCAAGATGTAACTCTGTCTGGGGCGCTAAACCTCTGGAGCGAAACTACATTGAGCTAGCAAACTACAATGAGCTATGATCGGCGATGCTAGCTGATAGAATTTCAAGATGTTGCCTGTCAGCCCAGGGGTCCTTCAAAGGCACGGAGAGGGGAGTCAGTGTAGTTGGCCCAGTCACCCCACGCGGAGCCGGTAAGTCCGTCTTGGAAGAACATACCGATGATGGCCATCATTGCCAGTCGTCCGTTGGCCAACTCCGCATTGAGCTTTTTCGTGCGCAGGGCTGGGTCCTGCACGGAGTTGCCAAAGCCGAGGTATCCCAGACCAAGGTTGCCCTTGCCGTAGTTGCCCGGCTCGGATGTCTTCTTGTTTGCGACGAGCTCCAAGAAGCCGGCGAAAGCCAGGATCTGGGCCCAACCCTCCTTGGGCACCACGGAGATAGCCTTGAGGCCGTTGGGGACGTCAGAGAACTTCAAGTTGTTGGACGGAGACAGGTAGCCATCGAACTTGAAGTACTCTGGGACGATATATCCGATTGTCGCGAACATGGACACGCGTCCGTGCTTGATCTCGGTCTCACGACGGCGCTTGAAGACCTCGACGTCCAGGTCCTTGGAGAATCCGAGTGGGTCCCAGAATCCGAGAGGTGCCTGATCACCGGTGAGTCCTTCGAAGCCGGTGTTGGGCTTCTCCCACTCAGGCAGGGTGTTGTAACCCGGGCTCATCAGTCCACTGCGAAGAGGGGAGTCGGTGTACAGCGCCCAGTCACCCCATGCGGAGCCAGTGAGTCCGTCCTGGAACAACCTCAATGAGTACATCATGGACAAGCAGGCAGTGTGCAAGGTCGCATGAAGTACTTGCCAGTGCCACATTTGGCCCAGAACTATTTCGTTTGACCTTCTGTGACGCAATGAACTGGAACCGCGAAAACTATGTTTACGGAAAGCATACACTGCTGCGAGACGGATTTGGGCGATTCATCCAAACTGAACCCATGTGTAATTCTTACAGCAACCCTTGTAGAACACTTAAATGGTAATCCTCATCGGAGTAATGTTCCTTCTAATCGCAACCCTTAACGCTTGTCGAACATCTATGGCTACCCTTTCAATAGTAGCCAGGTTGCATACCGATGATGGCCATCATGGCCAAGCGTCCGTTCGCCAGCTCAGCAGACAACTTTTTCTTGCGCGCCTGTTACTTACCGAGGAGGGCATTTAGGGCATCTTGTCTGCCTCGTATTCCTCTAGAGCATGGGTGGGGTGGGGTTTCAATAGCCTTTGTTCTTGTGACCTGCTGGCCCTTGCAGACGAAGTTGCTGCATCATCCTAATTACTTGTGAAGTTCCTGTGGAAACTAGACTGGTACTGGCCGAAGAGGTACAAGGGCAAAAGCTCTCCTGCTACGAGTACTCGGTTCTGGCTGAGGAACCTACCTGAAGTTATCTGGCTAAAGATATCCTGACATCCGCGGTATGGCAACGTAAGAGAAGTTCTGTGATAAGATACTTATCATCAACAACATAAGATGCGAACACCAGCTAGGCTGGCAACCGGCCAGCAGCCAAGAAACCCTGAGCTATAGAGCCTCCTAGTATAGGGGCTAGAAATACTCTTTGGAATAGGGTTTCGGGGGTACTATCGTTTGAACATGACCAGGAGCCCTAAGGCAAGGCTATCGGCAACTATTCTGACCCCTGCATATTGTGGTTTAGGGTTTAGGGTTTAGGGTTCTAGATGTCGATTCCAACTGTCCCACAATTATCTATGATTGGGGAACTTTTACTAAACAACAAGGGGAAATCAACAACTATTCCAAATCGATACCTAACATAACCCTACAGAACCCGTTTAGGAACCCTTATACCTCACCCTTGTAAGAGACCATAGAAAGATTCTAAAAGATACCATAATGAAGAGAACTACCCATTGTTCTCAGAGTCTTCCCAAGAGCCCCTAAAGAATAGGCCCTAAACCCTGAACCGTAAACCCTCACCTAACATTCCAGTCTTACCAAGAGCCCTGGACCCGCCTCCGGGTCCGCCACAGAGCCCAGGAAGCCGAGACCCAGGTTGCCCTTGCCGTAGTTGCCCGGCTCCTCGCCGACCTCTGCGTTAAAGGTTTAGGAAGTTTAGGGTTAAGGGTTTAGGGCAAGGGTTCATGTTGACATACTTGGAGGCTCATGGGTGGTTAGAAGCGGGGTTGTAAGTTATAAGTCCTGTAATATGCGTCGTAACCACAATTATCCCACTCGCAACCCTACGTATGACTAACCCTGAACCTTTAAGCAGGGTAGGCTCGGAGTTCTGGCTCTCTGGGGCATTGGGGCCTTTCTTTCGGGCTCCTATGAGGGCTGATGTTGGGACGGGGAGATCTCAAGTTGCGGTAAGTGTATGTCGATGAGGATGATGATGATCATCTTGACCCACGCCCCAAAACTACAAAAAAAATCCTAAAAAAAACCCTCCAAAACCCGTCAAACCCCTAAAAAGGTCCCTGGAAAGATCTCCGCCGTCCCAGCTGCGGGCTTGTTGATGAACTCTACCACTAGCCCGACTACTACCACGACTAAGACGACCGAGCCGATGTGAACTCACTTCACCACTGAAACTTTCACCCAGCTGCGGGCTTGTTGATGAAGAGCTCGTAGACTCCCAAAAAGGCCACGATCTGACCCCAGCCCTGGCCAGGCACCTGGAGGTACGTCGGGGGGTTTCCGAAAAACTTGGAGTCGTGTTTAGTGAGACAGTTGAGGGCCATCGGAAGTGTAGATTCCAGGGCTTGGAGCTGTATGACTCAGGAACCGTGGTAAAACCCTACATATCCCAGGCTATCTACAATCTGCAACTAGACGCACATTGACATGACGATCGACTTCGAAATCCAGCGGTTTAAGTGTTAAGGTTAAGTGGTTTCCGGAGAAATTCAGAACTGGAAATCAAGCAGAAGCCAGCACATCTAGGTGAATCCGGCATCAAAGCACCCGGCTTGACCCATATTATACTTGTTGACTACTCTCGTAAACCTCTGCGGTACGTAAACAAATGCTGGTTGCAATCTCCTTTATCATAACTCTCGTGCGGATCGAACACAACCGCTGCAAAGGAGAGAGAGAGAGAGAGAGAGAGAGCGAGAGAGAGAGAGAGAGAGAGGGAGAGAGAGAGAGAGAGTGTGTGCGTGTGTGTGTGTGTGTGTGCACTCATTCATGTATGTGCTCATGTATTCTTTGATTGTACTGGGGCTGTTTATCACGAACACCTTCATCCTGAGACTCACGTGGCTGACAACAAAAAAGGAACTGCAAACAGTACCGTGCTTGTCGGTTGGTTGCCGTGTTGCAGGTCCGCTGGGGTTGGTCCACCTGTCATCTGGTCATATACCTGTTAAGGCAAGTTACGTATAGTTGCTTTCTCACAAAACTGTTCGGCTCCACCACCCCAATGCTCTAAGCCAAATGCTAGATGGCTTCTTGCACATGAAAGATACATGGACTGGCGCAAAGAGGGGAGCCGCCGTATTTTCATATTGACATATATGCATACATGCAAGTGCAGCTTTGCCTGTGAATACACTCACACTCAAAGCTGCAACCGTACATCCATACATGCATACATACATATAGACACCCAAGTAAACAATACATACTGTGCAGACCTACATCCAGAAATTCATGCCAGATTGACAGACGGACAAACAAGCAAACAATCAGACGAGCAACATCTACATGCGGACACTCATACATAATCATGCATGCATGTGCGATGCATGTGTGCCATATGTATGTACATACGTAACAGAATTATACATACGGTTGTACGAAGATATACACATACAGGCGCATGTATCTCGTACACATCTATGATTCTGCTGCTGATTCATAATGCCTGTCCACATGTCCTTGCTGATTGAACGGTCCCCAAGCCGGATTCCGGAACCCCTGGCCCACTGTCCGCTTCGCGCCTTGGTCAGTGCAGCGAGACCGTTGGGGATGTCCGTGAACCTCAGCTGCTCACATGGTATCGAGCTGCCATGCAATGTGTTTGGAATTAAGGTGTAGGCTTTCGGATGTCAATGTAGCCTTGGGAAGTTCCAAATAAACCCCTACATCCCCAAACCCCCTGAACCCTAAACCCACGAACTCCTGAACCCTGAGCCCCTACCTGAACCCTGAGCCCCTACACCCCCGAACCCCTAAACCCTGTGCCGCTGAGTCTCTTCAGGCCCAGCTTAGGGGAGAGCTCGCCGGGCCAGCGGAAGTACTCGGGGACGATGTAACCTCGCGCTCATTTGTTTTTTTTGAACCCTCTTTTCCGTCTGCCCAAGGGGAGTCTGGAATGCCCGTTACGACTGAGGGGTGTCCAAAAGCCGCAGAAGGGTTTAGGGTTTAAGATTTAAGGTTCAGGGGGTGTAACCTTGCGCTTTTTGATCTCCTGTTTATGTCTGCCCAACCAGGCCATCTGAGCTTGCAACCTCGATTTTAGGGGGGTAAAGTGGTTGGGGTTTATAGGGTTTAGGGTTGAGGGCATAGGGTTTAGGCTCGGGGTATATAATTTTAGAGAGAATGAACACCGGAGAGGTTTACAAGTCATGTATCCGTCAGGGATAGGGTTTTGCTTGAAGGGATGATGCGGCTTCGGGTTTAAGGCTTAGGGCGGAGAGGGCTTGTGGACTTCTTGGTGTAAAATTCTTCGGGCTCTGAGAGGGATGTAGCCTCAGCGGGCTTTGTTGGGCTTTTGTGTGGGCTAGTGTATAAGGAGTGATCATCTAGAAGCACTCGAAAGTTTTGAAAGGGCATGGGCTGCTGTAACATCGGCTTTAGGCTTTAGGGCTGTCTCTTCGCAACGAGTGCAAGTATAATATCCTGCTATTTCCCATGATGACCCCCAAATAGATAAGGGGGATGGATGTCTATGACACGCGCTAGTTCATTGTCTTTTCTTACATGTGCGAACGTCTTGGTACCGACGAGAGAGCACAACTAAATGGAAACCAAGTGGAGCATCGCACAAATGCGGAAGGTTCCAACGTGACAGGCAGTCTGACGCTCTGCAACCGCCTTACCTGACACTTCAAAATCCCCTACGTCAAGCTCACTCCCTATATCACAAAAAGATCCTAATGAAGACGGGCAGGTGCTGTTGTGAAACAACAAGATAGGGTCAGCACATCTGGAAGTTTCCTGTCAGGCTTCGGCTTAGGCTTTCTCCTTGGCCAACCTTGACCACGGATTGCATATTTCTATGCTGGTAGACTCCGTGGCTATATACCTCTCAAACTTCACCGGGCCCCTTTACCAAGCCAGGCCATCGGACCCTCTACAAGTCAAGTCGCCAATCGTGGCGTACATCGAGATCCTTCCGTGCCTGAGTCAGGGTGGGGGCATGGCAAACAAGCGGCAATCGCAAAAATCGTGATGGTCATGGCAGAAACAGGTTTCATGTTTGGAACTACGATGCTGCCGTCACCAAGGCCCTGATATTGCTTTTACGAAGACGTTCACGACTCCTACGACTAATGACAATCATTCTCGCTCGCAGTACACGATCCCGCCAGTACTTTTGAGACTGACCACATATGCCAGTAAAGTAAAGGGCTCTAGTTGTTGGGATCAAGACTGCAAGCTTGGTATGGCAGCAGTAAGAGCAAGAGTAGTAATGGTCCAGTAAGGGTCACAGTGCTAAGGATGCTGAACACACCGAACGTCCGAAGAAGTCCTGTCCTAAACTCACCAAGCAGGATAACAACACACACACACACACCTCATCTCTGCAAGACGCTGGAGCTTAAGAAAGCTCAGTTCCGGTTTGCCGGGGCACTTCAGCTCAACCTCGCGACGGCGCTTGAAGACCTCCGTGTCGCCATCGGCGGAAAGGCCAAGAGGGTCCCAAAATCCCACGGGCGCCTGAACACCCAGCTCTCCTTGCAGGGTAAGCGGTTAGCTGCATTGCCATGCAGAGGAAAGGTCGAGCCTGGTAACGTCCAGTCTGTCAAGAAGTAACTCCGTCTGGAGCGCTCAAACTACGTAGAGCGAAACTATCATGAGCTATGAAACTACAATACAATGAGCTATGATCGGCGATGCTAGCTGATAGAATTTCAAGATGTTGCCTGTCAGCCCAGGGGTCCTTCAAAGGCACGGAGAGGGGAGTCAGTGTAGTTGGCCCAGTCACCCCACGCGGAGCCGGTAAGTCCGTCTTGGAAGAACATACCGATGATGGCCATCATTGCCAGTCGTCCGTTGGCCAACTCCGCATTGAGCTTTTTCGTGCGCAGGGCTGGGTCCTGCACGGAGTTGCCAAAGCCGAGGTATCCCAGACCAAGGTTGCCCTTGCCGTAGTTGCCCGGCTCGGATGTCTTCTTGTTTGCGACGAGCTCCAAGAAGCCGGCGAAAGCCAGGATCTGGGCCCAACCCTCCTTGGGCACCACGGAGATAGCCTTGAGGCCGTTGGGGACGTCAGAGAACTTCAAGTTGTTGGACGGAGACAGGTAGCCATCGAACTTGAAGTACTCTGGGACGATATATCCGATTGTCGCGAACATGGACACGCGTCCGTGCTTGATCTCGGTCTCACGACGGCGCTTGAAGACCTCGACGTCCAGGTCCTTGGAGAATCCGAGTGGGTCCCAGAATCCGAGAGGTGCCTGATCACCGGTGAGTCCTTCGAAGCCGGTGTTGGGCTTCTCCCACTCAGGCAGGGTGTTGTAACCGGGGCTCATCAGTCCACTGCGAAGAGGGGAGTCAGTGTAGTTGGCCCAGTCGCCCCACGCGGAGCCGGTAAGTCCGTCTTGGAAGAACATACCGATGATGGCCATCATTGCCAGTCGTCCGTTGGCCAACTCCGCATTGAGCTTCTTCGTGCGCAGGGCTGGGTCCTGCACGGAGTTGCCGAAGCCGAGGTATCCCAGACCAAGGTTGCCCTTGCCGTAGTTGCCCGGCTCGGATGTCTTCTTGTTTGCGACGAGCTCCAAGAAGCCGGCGAAAGCCAGGATCTGGGCCCAACCCTCCTTGGGCACCACGGAGATAGCCTTGAGGCCGTTGGGGACGTCAGAGAACTTCAAGTTGTTGGACGGAGACAGGTAGCCATCGAACTTGAAGTACTCTGGGACGATATATCCGATTGTCGCGAACATGGACACGCGTCCGTGCTTGATCTCGGTCTCACGACGGCGCTTGAAGACCTCGACGTCCAGGTCCTTGGAGAATCCGAGTGGGTCCCAGAATCCGAGAGGTGCCTGATCACCGGTGAGTCCTTCGAAGCCGGTGTTGGGCTTCTCCCACTCAGGCAGGGTGTTGTAACCCGGGCTCATCAGTCCACTGCGAAGAGGGGAGTCGGTGTACAGCGCCCAGTCCCCCCATGCGGAGCCGGTGAGTCCGTCCTGGAACAACCTGAACATCATGGACAAAGAGACAGTGTGCAACGTCCCACGGTTCGACATATGTCCCAAAGTTACCAAAGCAATGTACTGGGAACGCCCAACGCACCAAGAAATGCTTCGTGGTTCATCGAAGCTGAACCCACGAGGAATCCTGCGAGTAATCCTTGCAGCAGTCACCTTTCTAAAACCCTTGCAGTTATCCTTATTGTAGCCAGGTTGCATACCGATGATGGCCATCATCGCCAAGCGTCCGTTCGCCAACTCCGCAGACAACTTCTTCTTGCGCGCCTGAGCGCTTGGAATGGCTGTCCCGGGGTACGAGATGTGAGTTCCGCTTTCAGTGGGCTGCAGTCCTCAACAACATCCAAAGCACCCTCGACAGAAAACCCTAAGCCCGAACCAGAACCCTGAACAACAAAACAGCAGTGATCTCCACCGAAGCCGTATGCATCGTCAACCTTCAACTTCGCCACCCAACACACAAAGTCCTTACCCACTCCTCAACGATGAAGAGCGCACAAAACAGCACGTAGAAAGCTTCCCCTCGCCTAAGTTACATCCCTCAGAACTCCAGGCACCCCGAAGGAATGCCTTGAAAAGGAGCCCCGAAAAAGAACCTTTCAACAACCCGGGACACCCGCCTCGGGGTCCGCCACAGGGCCCAGGAAGCCGAGACCCAGGTTGCCCTTGCCGTAGTTGCCCGGCTCGTCGCCGACCTCTCTAGGGGCCAAATATTTAGAATAGGGTTGTGGGGCCCATTATACTATAAGTACAATAAGGAACCCCCAAATTAGTATCGGTAGTTATGTAGGCCCCTGCATTGCTTTTACAGGGGTTGAATTCAAGTCTCGATAAGGGGTCCATGTTGTGGGGGGTGTTTTAGAGCCGATGGGGCATGTGCGAAAGCCCCATCGCGGTTGTAGGGTTGGGGTGTTGGGGTGTTGGCATGTTGGGGGCTAGGGTTTGGAGCCTCGGGCTCCGTTGGAATATTTCGGCTGCAAGACACGCTATACATCACATTGCATTGCATTGCGTTGCATTGCATTACATTACATATTGCACAACCTGATGGTATTTTTCAATACATATCCAACAATGTCCAGCGTATGACGTAGCGTGCGATAAGCTTGCAGCCGACTATTTAAACGACGTGCACTATACTATGATGCAAAACAACATAGTGCTACACAGTAAAATCCACATGTAACTTAATACAGCTCAACACAGTTATTGTCGATCTCTCTATCTGTCTGCCTACCTATCTGCTTATCTATCTATCTATCTAAACTAACTAATTAACCTTATCTAATCACTAGTCTATTCTATCTATCTACCTATCTGTATGCGTACATACATAGGTACAGATTTTGTAACCCTTTAGGCATATAAACGAGATTGCAACTATGTGCCTATGTGAATAAACAAAACATGTCTGTGTGTCTTTGCATCTCTACACATATAAACGGCCAGAAGAAGATCTATATAGCCCAGCTGCGGGCTTGTTGATGAAGAGCTCGTAGGTTCCCAGGAAGGCCACGATCTGACCCCAGCCCTGGCCAGGCACCTGGAGGTACGTCGGGGGGTTTTAGTTTCGTGGAGGTGTTGGGGCTTTAGGGTTTTCAGGGTTTTGGGGCTTTGTAGCTTTAGGGTTTTAAGGTTGAGATACATTGAGCACACATGTAGCAGGCTATATGCAACAAGTACACCCTAGTCGATGAGAATATGTGTAATTGTGGGTATACTTACATCTGTGTATACGCATAATGTGTATATATGTATATATAGATGTACAAATAGATGCACAGATCTCAATACATCCACATATGTACGTATATATATATATATATATATATATATATATATATATATATATATATATATATATATACACACACGTATGTGTGTGTATACTTATATATGTATTATGCATGTGTATATATATATATACATATATACATATATGTATATATGTATATATGTATGTATGTATGTATGTATGTATGTATGTATGTATGTATGTATGTATGTATGTGTGTGTATGTATGTATAGAGCGAGAGAGAGACATGCATACATGCATGCATGCATGCATGTAAGTATGTATGTGTGTCGAAAGACAAGGAGAGAACGAGATAGAGGCGAGAAATTATACTAATTACAATGCCCTTTGGTTTTGTCCTCGAAGCTGGTTCGAGGTCGGCCCTGGGTTTGAAGACGGATCGGGCCTTTGCCTCTGAGGGCTTTGAGCCTTTGCCTGATTAGTGCTGCTTTAAGCTGGGTCGGTTAGGGTTTCAGGCTCAAGCCTCAGGACGCCGACGGAGACTTTCGAAAGCCCCGAAAACCCTAAACCCTGCGTCCCCGGAAGCCTTCGTGAGAGCAGCCAGCCCATTCGGGATGTCGGTGAACCTCGGCTCTTCCAGTTCGAGGTCCTTTCGGGTTTCCAGAGACTCCAATATCCCTTAATTACGGAATATTCCTTAAATCATAGTAGGGATCCCTACTATGATTTAAAGAATGCTCCTTAATTAAGGGATATTGGAGTCTCTTGGTTACGAAGGCTTATTCTGAGGGGTACTATCAGGGGATACTGTAAGGCAGGTGCTACTATGAGGGTTGCTGTAAGCGTTTGGCTCGGGTATGAGTCTAGGGCTCAAGGTGTCTCGTTGAACGCCACAACAATTCGAGAAATAAAGCCTACTATATGCGTCAATACAACCATACTAACATAAAGCCCTAACACTAACATAAAGCCCTAACACTACAACTGCAACACCTAGTATGGCCCTGAACTCCTACAAACCCTGTAAAGCCCTACAGACCCCTCAAGGAACCCTTAAATAGGGAACCCTATAGAAACAAACCCTATAAAACCTACACCCTAAACCCTATTCCCCTTTATACATCCTAAAAAGCCTACTACCTTGTGCTTGCCGGCGCGATGCTGCAAGCCCAACTTCGGGGAGAGCTCACCGGGCCAGCGGAAATACTCCGGCACGATGTAACCTCTTAAAGTCCAGGGTTTAAGGCTTTTGGTTTATAGGGTTTAAGGATTTTGGTTTGGGGTTTAGGGTTTAGGGCTTTGGGATGAGGGCTTTTCGGGCTCCGGCACCTAGCGATTCGGCGTGAGGTTTCGGTGTCTTCTTGCTTGCAGAAGACAAAAACCGACACCCGGAACAGCGGATCCATGTATTCTTGCAGCTGATCCGGCATCAAGCTTGATGCCGACAAGGGTCTATGTGCTTGAACTGTTCGGGGCTCAATGCTAACAAGGGGTTGGGGCTGAATTTCCATGGGGAGTTGAGGATGCAACGTCCTCGGACCCTCGAAGGGGCTGGGGCTGCCAGGCAGCCGATCGTGGCGAACATGGAAATCCTTCCGTGCCTCGGTTTGGTAATGCGGCGGCTCCAGGGTCGCTGCGGGTCACCAAGGTTCTAAAGGGAACTCCAGAAAGTTGGAATATGGTTTCAGGGTAGGATACCCTATAATTTACCATAAAGGGTTTAGGATAATCATATTCCAACTTTCTGGCTTTTACTTTACTAGGTTTTAGGCCTGCGGGGGGTTTGCGGGCTAAGGTTTTCGGGTTGAGGTTCTTGTTTCCTTCAATCGTCTGTCGCAGCTAGAGGGGGACGTATGGCAAGCATAGACATAACCAGAAATGTGGACAGGTGATTACTTCACCCTTTTCTCCCTATAGTAATCCGGACTATAACAGGGATCCGAATTTCAATATATCAGGCCTCTAAAGCACGGTGGTTGATTAATCAGGGGTTCATATCGGTCAGCACATGTGGGCCTACTCTGAGCTCGGCGAATGTGCACGACCTCTTTCCATCATGGAAGCATTACTGACACACAACTATAATTAAGTAGGACAACCAAAGTTTTACATGATTCAACCCATATTGAAGGACACAGGTTTAAACATTGAAGGACGTACCACCAGACTTACAACTATCTATGGACCTCCAAAGAAGCGAAGCCCCCCTCTCTTGTTTGAGGGCTGCATAGACATGTTTCTCAAAGGGATTTGCAACACAGCTCTTGCTTCACGAACCTTCAAGAGGGCTTCAAGTTTTCCAGATAAGGTCTAACTCTTTTAACTTCGTAGGCATGTACTACGTCCTTCATATAAACATAAAGGCTAAGAGGACGCGAGGTGGGCAGGGTTTAGGCTGCTCGGGGCCAAAACTAAGTGAGTTGAACTTACACTTGGTGATGGTCAATTATTATAGCTGTTCCGAGTTATTTCCGCTGCCATCACTGTTGCTACTGTTCATCTAGTCGTCTTGCAAGCCCTGCAATATTAATGATTTGTCTCCTATTCAATATACTTTAGGACTTTATTCTGAGTCTTACTGCATCATGCAGTCACATTATGCATGTATGCCTATCATGACAACACAAAGCCGAGCGCTTTAATTCGCAAGGTTCGAAACCACATCAAGCCATTAAGGGGTTTCGAGGCTTTTGCCCCCTATTCTGCAGGGTTACAGGTTCGATTCTCGCATACCGCGCTTCTGATTTGCTTCTTGTTTGACACCGCCGAATTCATGCGACGGTTACTATATGCCCCGTAGATCCAGCATGTGCTCGAATACTGCGTAGTTTTCCCCTTGATGGAATATTGCAGTAACATCCAGAAACTGTTCCAAGGTTTATGCATACCTGGAGGGTTTAAGGGCTTCGGACTCCTGGGTGTCAAACTCTGGCGGTGAGGTCCAAGGGAAAACCCCCAACAAAACCTCGGCAATGCTGTCAAACTCGTGCAAGGGCTGCATAAAACCGCTACAGACGTCCGAAACGACGCGCGTCCTGACAAAGCTATAAAGCCCCGCCGACCCCTCTAATTATAAGGTCCAAAGAACTTCAGCTCCACCTCACGCCGACGCGCGAAGACGGCCGCATCGCCGTCCGCAGAGAGCCCCAGCGGGTCCCAAAAGCCGACAGGGGCCTTCTTTTTGGGTAGGGTAGGGTTTAGGGTTTAGGGTTTAGGGTTTAGGGTTTAGGGGTTTAGGGCTTGATGTGCTGGGGTTCGGGGTTTAGGGTTTTTCTTCGCTGTGGGCTTTGGGGTTTAGGTTAAGTCTCAGAGTAAGTAAGGGCTTGTAGGGATTTCGGGTCTAGGGCTCTTTTGTCGGAGGCGGCGGGCTGGGGCGGATCGGATGTTCTCGGTTTGTTGATTAATTAAGCTCCATTTTTCCGTCAGGCTTAAGTTTAGCGTTTCGGGTCGAGGTCTTCGGGGGTTCCGCGCGTTAGGGTGTTGAGGACTGCGCAGAACATGCGAACATCTGAGCATAAACAGGGGTGATGTCCTTACGGGTCGGGTTCTTGGATGAGGCCTCTGCGACCTTCTTGATCCATTTGCCTGTCTGTGTGAGCCTCGTGAATCACGGTTTAGGGTTTACATGTGAATGTGCATGAGGTGCTGGATACTCTGCTTTACACACGAAAGGAAACCTTTGGATGCACCATGCCGCATGCCCACAAAGAAAACCGCAACCTAAAATCCTGAGTCTCACACCCCAAGAAGCCCGACTTAAAACGATTACGGCTCCTCTATATACTAGAACCCACATGCTAACCCTCGTAGAACCCTTTTAAAAGGAAGCCGAAACCTTGCGCTCACGACTCCCCACGCGAAGCCCACCCCAAAAGTCAACTTCTATACCCTAGGCCAGCGTGCTCCCTCATCCCCAAACTTCACCGCGTTTAGAACAATGCTAGGATCCTCAAGAACGGAAGGTGCTGAACTTTGGGAAGACTTTAAAGAACCCCCCACAATGGTGTTCCTATTCATTCAGGACCCTCTGTTTCCCGAACGCCTGAGGAGGCGAACAGTCCTGACACCTAACCCAATTCAGCAGGCAGAGACAGAGAAAAGCGACGCGGACCTAAACCCGAAACCCTGAACACCCTAAACACCCCAAACCCTGCTTGAAGGTTCGTATGTAAGCCCCTTAATCTGGGTTATAACTAACGCTAAACCCTAAACCCTCAAAACCCTGAATTTTCCTAAATCCTACTTGGAGGTTCATGGGTACTTCTACATGAGGTTATAAGTCCCTTAATAGGGGATTTCGCTATAGTTAATAAACAAAAATTCCAAAGGAGACTAAAGCTGAACCTCCAAGTAAACTCTGCTTGAAGGTTCATATGTAAGCCTTTTAATCTGGATTATAACTAACTCTCAACCCTAAACCCTCAAAACCCTTAATTTCCTAAACCCTACTTAAACCCTCAAACCCCTTCATTTCCTAAACCCCGGAAACCCTGCAAGCTCTGGCCTGGACTCCCAGCTCCCCCTCGAAAGCCCGGAGAGGGGAGGCGGTGTAGAGGGACCAGTCCTCGTTCACAGCATTCTGGTAACCTATAATTTTACACATACCGTATTTTTGTTATGTGTGTGTATATGTGTCTATATATATATATATACATACATACATAACAGTGCAGATCTCAAAGGGCCTCTGAGGCTTTTGGCGGCGGTGCTTTAAGGGTTGAGGGCTGTGGGGGTCCAACCCCCAAACTCCATCAGCCGTGGGTTTCGGTGCTTAAGCTTGGCGTTCAGGGTTCAGGGGTTTAAGGCCTTCAGGGTTCTTCTCTTTTGGTGGCCTCTCGCTTGTTTGCTGCAGCAGTGAGCGGGCTCTTCGGCCCCGTATCCAATGGGCTTTTGGGTAGTCCGGGGTCAATGATAACAAGGATCCTGCTATTCAGGGTCGAAATGCGGGTTCCGGATATGCTGGCAACTCCCCTTCAGGTCCGGGCGCTGCCTAAAAACCCCCCTCTTCTGCCTCCGAGGCCTAGCGGGTGTCAGGCTCAAGACCTATCGCCTTACAAGTGACAAGAGACAGTCGATGGCCTGGTGCTCACCGAGATACCCTTTAGGGTTTAGGGATGTTTAAGACTTTTCCCAAATTAGCACTCATCGAGATACCCTCTAAGGTTCAGGGGTTTAAGACTTCTCCCAAAACATTGCAGAAAGAAATAGCCCGGGGGAAATGCCTCCTACCGTTGAGAGGCCGGTGTAGGGTTTAGGGTTTAGGGGTTTAGGGGGAACGTTTGAGATTTTGACCGTACAAGTTCTGAGTTTGAGGATGTTGGAAAAAAGCTATAAGCCCCAAACCCCCGTTAGCTGGACCCTGGGAAACCTACAATCTAAAGAACATATAGAAAAGGACACAGTAAGGAACCCTAAAAAGGTGGTTCAGGTAAACCGGTCCAGGGCTAAGGGTCTAGAAATTAGGTGCCAAACGCAGCCAGGGAACGCCCCAAGCGGAGCCGGTGAGGCCATCCTGGAAGAACATACCTGGTCAACCCAATAAGCCCGAGAGTACCCACACACACACACACACACACAGGCATATGTATACACATATATATACACAAGCAATATTACAGATACATGCCACACGTAATTAGTCATAGAGTTTCATGTACCTACGAGAAGGAACCTTGAAACGAAGACCTGAAATAGGGGACACACTTCTTGTGTAGAAGAGGGGATCTCTGTAGTATTGTAGATAAAGAATATCTATCCTTCAGATCGAGCCCTGAAAGAAGGAGTCCATACCGTCAGCTACAAGAAGGATACATCAGATGGTTTCAAGTATATTCTATGATGAAGCGCGGGGCGAGTCTTCCGCGTCACCGCGGCTTGAGAGTTTTCGGCATCTTTGTCCTCTATCGTCCAGCAAACGCTAGGATGCAGCGTAGAACTGCACCTTTAGGACGACAAACGGTCAATCGTTTGGGATATATGATTTCTTGTTTTTTCAATCTATAATCGCCTTGGGGCCCCAAACAGACACGCGACGAGCTGTGCTTAGATCATAAAACGTCAGCAGTGATCCCTATAAGGAATATGCGGAGGTATGGCTTGAAGGAGAGGAACTGGCATGGTCTTTCGGTGTTGTGTAGAGGGTGCTGGGTAGGGTAGGAGTTAAGATGTTGCCGCTCGGGGTTGATGCTTCAGTTCCGGCCACTTGCCGATAGAATTAAAAGGCGAGCAGTCGGGTTAACCTGATCTGAAATCATGCGCTGATCAGAACGAGGATCTTGTCTAGCATGCTTCTACGACTGGCTTGTCACCAGGTGCCGGATCTAAACCAGAAAGTATTGACTCTTGAGTGAGCTGTATTCTTCCCTGTATCCTGCCGGACTGCACAAACTAGCCGCCAAGGCACCGATGATGGCAAACATGGCCAACCTGCCATTGGCCAACTCGGCGTTCAGCTTCTTCTTGCGCGCCTGCGAGCATAGCCGGCTTCGAGGGTTGGAGGCACAGCCGAAGGAGGCTTAAGCGATTCCGCAGTCAGGCATGGAAATCCTGACTCTGACTTGACTGGAATATGATAAAGCCGATGCCCTGAACCTCAAAATAGGAATCAAACACTGCCCCAACAAAAGCTCATGGAGACAGTCGGTCTGTAGCAAGCTGGGTTGCGACTAGAAATTCTCAACCCCGAAACCCGGCATTGCAAGGACGAGAGATGCCATGAGCTCTGGCAAGCAGGAGGAACACCTCGGGGTCGGTGATGCCGGTGTTCATGATGCCGATAGACCTGGAAATTATCTTCTGTACGTATATGCTTATATCTGCGCCTGTCGCGCGTCTCCCTCCATTTGTCTTTATCTCCATCCCACTCCCCCGGACCACACCACCCACTCGCTGCCTCTTTCTCGCGCTCTCTCACGCACACATTCATTCATTTCTTCATTTCCTTGCCTCCTTCATTGATTGATTCATTCTTTTATCCATTCCATTGCATTGCATTGCTTGTAATTTCGTATCATTCCACTCATTCACTTCATTCATTCATTCATTCAGTCAGTCAGTCAGTCAGTCAGTCAGTCAGTCAGTCACTCACTCACTCATTCATTCATTCATTCCATTTCATTCATTCCATTTCATTCATTCCATTTCATTCATTCCATTTCATTCATTCCATTTCATTCATTCCATTTCATTCATTCATTCATTCATTCACTCACTCACTCACTCATTCATTTCATTCATTCATTCATTCATTCACTCACTCATTCATTCATTCATTCATTCGTCTCTCTATGTATCTGTATGTTTGCCTGTCAAATACACTCGCACATACATGCATGCATGCATGCATACACTCCTATTCAACGGCCTACTGTTTTCAAGCGCCCCGGTCTCGCCGGAAGTGGTGAGCACAGTGATATCTATGGCAAGTTGACTTTGTGGGAACACAGCGGCAGCGGCTTCAATCATTCGAAAATGGCTGCAGGGATGTAATATGCCATAGTCATGTAGGGACTAGGCGAGGCGGGGACACCATTGCAGACTTTTCCAACTCCCAGCATACACTATGTGTTTTTACTCGCAAGTCCTAGCATCAGTTTCCTCGGCCCCCTTTGCTTTGTCACGCCGTTCTTATCATATTAAGCCGTTGTACTATTGCGGACGTTTCCTTGCCGGTTCCTTCCATGTAAAAGTGTCTCTGGGTCTGGCCGAATCTCCACAAGCTTTGCAACCTGGGCACCTCAGCCCGAGGAAGCCGGCGCCGTAGTTGCCGGGCTCATTGTTGACCTGCGACTGCGTGTGCTTCAAGTTTGGGTTGCTTAAGGTGTAGGGTGTAGGGTGTTAGGGTGTTAGTGGGTGTGGGTGTGGGTGTGGGTGAGACTGGGGGTGAGAGTGGGCGTGAGAGTGGGGGTGGGGGTGGGTGGGTGGGGGTTCTTCGGGGTGGTGTTGGTGCAAGTGTGTTTGCCCGTTGGCTGTGTTCACAGGCTCACGACCATGACTGCTCTTGAGCGTCTTGTTACGGAACAACGCGCCTAGCCTGCTGTTCCTAAACCCCCCGGTTGCAAATCGGAGCCTTCACACGCCTCTTTCTTAGCATGGCCGAACCCTCGGTCCTGCTCGTTGTAAATGTTAACCTCGACGATGCCAGCGAAGCCGACGATCTGAAGCCATCCGAAGGCTGGCACCTCGAAGCAAGCTCTGGGCTTCAGGGCTTCGGTGGTTTTTTTCGAAGATGGGGGACCCTAATAATGGTAACTGGTAGGATCCTTATGATAAGGACCCCCCAAACTAAGGTACCCCTAGTTTTCCGAATGCGGAGCCCTAACCCCAAGCAGCCAATCCTATCGAGTTTAGTGCCGGCTGGTGCATTGAAGAGGCATTTGCTTACCATTGGTTAGTAGGAAATGGAAGAATGGTAGTAATAGTAAACATACTTGTACCCCATTCCTCCATTCCCTACTAACCAAAGGTAAGCTAAGGGGGTATAGTAGACCTTGAACACAAAACCCTAAACCCTAAGCTCCTGAAGGTAAGTTGAAGAGGCATTTGTGAGGCTTTAGCGGAGGTCACCTGAATTCATTCAGGCTCGCCTCGGGGATTTTGAATCCTTGCAGTTTCGGAACAAGGATTGAAACCCTCCGAATCTATGACATGGGGGCCTTATAAGGGATTTTGGGGTATACTATACTATAAACTTATTAAGGAACCCCAAAATAGTATAGGTATTTGATGCGGCCCCTATATTAGATCGTCGAAGCGCTTTGGGGCAGCGCTGGCCCTCGCCACAACAAAGCGTAACAGGCTACTAACTACTACAGAGGTCCAATCGGTTTAGGGATTCCTTATATAGCAAAAGTATACAAGGACTGCAAGGGGGTACGTGTTTATATGCGACTGTTATAGTTATTCCCACCCAACATTATTCACGCGTAGCAGGGTGTACGAACGTTAGATTACTTGTCTAGTCAGTTTTAGGTTTGGCCACATTGCGGCCCACATCAGCTGTCACTACGGTCACCACTCGACCCATGATCAAAACCATCTGATGAGTCTCACCATGAAAATAACACAGGTACTGCTATGACAGAGGTCTTCATAGTTAGAATGGGTTGTGGAGTCCAGAACAGTATAGGTAGACCGAGGAACCCCAAACAATCATATGGGCAACTGTACAGGCAGATTACATTGAACTAACTTGAGGTGCACTACTGCAGCGAAACCAGAAAGACGAGTACTGTTTTCGTCAGCGATGGCAATAACGATACACACGGCTCACGATCTCGTCTGTAATAATAATAATAATGTTCTGGAGGAAAAAAGCGTGCGAAACTAAGCTGAGAGTAACATATACGTGCAAAGGGAAGCTGCAGATTGCAGAACAAAAGGCAGCGTGCATCGTGATGTCGTCAACATGAAGAGCAACCACAACTGCACATGAACGCGCCGGTCAAGCCAAGAAGAACACCAAGCGTCGCAAGATAAACCGGAAACCGGAACTCACTCTGCAGAGAATAGCTGGGCGCACCTTGCTGAATGCGCTAAGGCCGTTTGGCACGTCGGCGAACCTGGAAAGTAAAGCTTGAGGCTTTTGTGGATGTAGGGCTGAGGGGTTTGTAGGGTTCCTTGGATGATTTGAGGGTTCTATACGGGCTAAACAGGATACAGGGGCTTGTTCCAGCGAAGATCGAAAAATGCGCAAGAGGATATCTATCTATCTTTCTATCTATCTATCTATACCTCCATCTCAATATTTATATGTACATATATATATATACATATGGATAACATGCTGCTTGACAACTGATTGGGACCACCTTTTGCTTCAAGCGTTCGCGAAAACTACGTGCCACCACTACCCATCGTCAAAATGCTTACCAGGAACACCACCCTGCTCCGCCGGGTGTTTGCTTGCCCCTAAACCCAAACACTTGAAGAGCAGTGCCGACGTCGTCACGACTTGTCCGAAGTCCAAGCAAGCAAGCACTTACGCTCTGGTGAAGGAATGACTTTAAGGAGCGGTGCACCATCTGGGTCGAAGTGTAAAAAGGTCCCAATAATTACAGATGTGGGGGTTGTTCCTCAGACTTGGGTCTCTTGTAGGAACCCAAAGGAAGGTGGCACCTGTATGAAAAGGGCATTGAAGGGGACTCTAATTGAGAAAACTATCGATGCGCAGGGATTGACGGGGAATCCAAAAAAACCCGAATTAGATTCTGGCGCCAAGGGACTTGATGTCCAAGTACTTGGAGAGGTATCCCGGAAATCGCCAGTACTCCTTGCTGGGGTCGGCGCTCCCTAAGCTGCTAAACCCTGAACCCTAAACCCTAATCATAAACCCCTGAACAACCCTAAACCCTAATCCCAGTTTTTCTGGCTGACGCCATGACATCCCCAGAGGACCAGGTCTGAACCCAAAGTGCACCCCAAAGCCTAATGTAGGAACTTGATTAAGAAACCTTGGGCCTTCATCAAGGTTCCCTGTATGAATCCTACTATTTTGTGGTTATAGGCCAAGGGTTTCTTAATCAGGTTCCTACATTAAGGACCACCTCCGGCTCTGGGGAAAGTGCTGCTGTGAGCTTCAGTCGGGGTCTATATGGTTTAGGGTTTAGGGGTTTGGGCTAGGGATTAATTCGGGGTTAAGGGTTTAATCGTGTTTAGTGGTTTTTGGAGGTTTTGGGGGCTTAGGCAAAACTGCGTCACAGCCTCTTGCTGCCAGTCTGAGCGCCAATCCCTACCAAGCGCCCTAAAACCCTAAAATTCTATTCCAAAAACCCTAAAATTCTATTCCTAAACCCTAAAATTCTATTCCTAAAACCGTAAGCTTCTATTCCTAAAACCCTAACATTCTATTCCTAAAACCCTGAAGCTCCAAACCCTCCCCCGAAACCGAGCCGGGAGTCAGGGAGGATGTATCCAATGGTCGCGAACATTGCGACGCGTCCGTGCCTCGGTTCAGGGTTCAGGGTTTTACGTTTTGGGGCTTCAGGGCTTTGGGTTTTTGGGCTTCGGTTCAGGGTTTTGGGGTTTGGGGGTGCAGGGTGTAGTTGTGAGGGGTTGGGGTTTGGGGCTTCGAGCTTCGACTCGGGCACTTCCCCGGGCTCCCAGGAACACGAAGCTGTTCGAAGGGCCCATAAGGGTTTGTATAAGGGTCCCGTAAGGGATCTTTAGGCCTTCCTTTAAAGGTTTGTACAAGGGTTGTTTGGCCTCTAACCACTCACTAAGCCTTCCAAGCATCCATAAAAGGCTTCAGGGCGTCGTGCTTAAGGCTCTTCCCCAACATAGAATTGGTCTAAAGCTTATCATAGCACCACCATAAACCCTCAAGGGAAACCGGTCAAGGAGCCCTTAAGATACGCATCCCGCAAAAAACCCTGAATCTTTGGCGAGTCCAAGGTGCTTGATCCCTAAACCAAAAACCCTACAGTAGAAGCCAGAAAGTTGGAATATCATTATCGTAACCCCTTTAAAGTAAATTATAGGGAATCCTACCATTAATCCATATTCCAACTTTCTGGAGTTCCCTTTAAACCCTGAACTCAAAACCCTAAATTCACGCACGCTCGGGCCCCTGCACTGCTGAACCCCCCGGCCCTGATCCTAAACCAGAAGCTGAGATACAGAATTGCGAAGATTATTCTTGGTGTTCCTTACGACACATCTACCATAATGCAGCCCCAAACCCACTTATAATTATTTGTTATAAGGCCCCTAGTTTAAACTTAAACCCTCAAGATTGCTTGCAAGATGCTTTAGCTCCACCTTAATATGGGTTATAACTATGGGTCTGGAATTAGTTTGGGATTTTTTTTATTTTTATTTATTTTTTGTTTGTGGTTTGCTTGGCCGTGTTGCATTGCCTTGCAGGGCACCGAAGATCGTGGGGGTTCATCGGGAACATAGAAAATTTGCACCGCGCCACAGCGCCAGCGCTTCGACACGCAGGATCCCTGTGGAGGGTTCATCGGGGACGTAGAAAATTTGCACCGCACCACAGCGCCAGCGCTTCGACACGCAGGATCCCTGTGAAGGGTTCATCGGGGACATACAAAATTTGCGCCGCGCCACAGCGCCAGCGCTTCGACACGCAGGATCCCTGTGGAGGGTTCATCGGGGACGTAGAAAATTTGCACCGCACCACAGCGCCAGCGCTTCGACACGCAGGATCCCTGTGGAAGCTTCATCGGGGACGTTGAAAATTTGCACCGCGCCACAGCGCCGGCGCTTCGACACGCAGTATCCCTGTGGAGGGTTCATCGGGGACCTCCCCCCTTTGCAAACCTTTTAAATCCTTCACGATTGATTGTGTTTTCTTCGCATCAAACCACCCTGACGCGTTGTTGTGTGGACTTCTCCTTCTTGTGTTTTGGCGAATACGTTTTTGTGCATCTTTCGTGCCTTTAGTGAGCGGGGAGTTTAGTCTAAAAAAGCGGGGGGGTTGGGGGGGGCGCAGCCCCCTCCATTTGTAAACCTTTTAAACCCTTCACGATTGATTGTGTTTACTTCGCATTAAACCACCCTGACGGTTTGTTGTATTTACAAACCCTTTAAACCCTTCACGACTGACTGTGTTTTCTTCGCATTAAACCACCCTGACGCGTTGTTGTCTGGCTTTCTCCTTCTTCTGTGTTGGCGAATACGTTTTTGTGCATCTCTTCGTGCCAGTGAGCGGGGAGTTTAGCCAAAAAAAAGCGGGGGGGCTTGGGGGGGCGCAGCCTGCAAACCTTTTAAACCCTTCACGATTGATTGTGTTTACTTCGCATTAAACCACCCTGACGCGTTCTTGTCTGGCTTTCTTCTTCTTGTGTTTTGGCGAATACGTTTTTGTGCATTTCTTCGCGGCTTTTTAGTGAGCGGGGAGTTTAGCCTAAACAAAGCGGGGGGGTTGGGGGGGCGCAGCCACCCCCCCAGTTGCAAACCTTTTAAATCCTTCACGATTGATTGTGTTTTCTTCGCATCAAACCACCCTGACGCGTTGTTGTCTGGACTTCTCCTTCTTGTGTTTTGGCGAATACGTTTTTGTGCATCTCTTCGTGCCTTTAGTGAGCGGGGAGTTTAGTCTAAAAAAAGCGGGGGGGTTGGGGGGGGCGCAGCCCCCCCCCATTTGCAAACCTTTTAAACCCTTCACGATTGATTGTGTTTACTTCGCATTAAACCACCCTGACGCTTTGTTGTATTTACAAACCCTTTCAACCCTTCACGACTGATTGTGTTTTCTTCGCATTAATCCACCCTGACGCGTTGTTGTCTGGCTTTCTCATTCTTCTGTGTTGGCGAATACGTTTTTGTGCATCTCTTCGTGCCAGTGAGCGGGGAGTTTAGTCTAAAAAAAGTGGGGGGGCTGGGGGGGCGCAGCCTGCAAACCTTTTAAACCCTTCACGATTGATTGTGTGTACTTCGCATTAATCCACCCTGACGCGTTGTTGTCTGGCTTTCTTCTTCTTGTGCTTTGGCGAATGTATTCCTTGTCTGCGTTCTTGTTGCTGTTACGGGACCGAGGGACCGGCGGACCGGAGACCACGGGACCAGGAGACCACGGGACCAGAGGACCAGCAGACCAGAGGACCAGGGGACTACAGGACCAGAAGAGCAGACGACCAAGGGACCGCAGGACCAAAGGACTAGAGGACCAGCAGACCAGAGGACCAAGGACCAAGGGACCACAGGACCAAGGACCAGGGGACCGCCTGCACCAGGGACCCTTGGCCGCACCTCGCAAACAAGGGTTGGCCGCACCTTTGAAAAAAAAAACCCTGGCCCGCCAAGAAGCCGAAAAGCCAAGAAGCCAGAAGCCAAGAAGCCAGGGAAGCCGAGAAGCCAAGCCAAGCGCGCACACAAGCCAAACAAAAAACAAATGCCCAAAAAAAATTTAAAAAAATTACCAAAATAAATACGCCTCCTATAACTATAGTTATCCTACTTATAACCCTACTACTTATAACTAACCATGAACCTCCAAGTAGACCCTCTAAGATTGCTTCCCAGCTGCTTTAGCTCCACCTCGCGTCGGCGATTGAAATCCGCCATGTTGCCGCTGGAGGCGAGCCCGAGGGGGTCCCAATAGCCGACCTTTGAGGTTTGGGGTTTCAGGGAAGGGTTTAGGGTTTAGGGTTTCAGGGAATAAGGGTTCTTTAAGGGGTCCCCATATTTTTAGGTTCGGGGGTTTGGGATTTAGGGTTTTACGAGGTTCAAGGTTCAGGGTCATAGGGTTTTCGGGTATGATGCTTCTTAAAGGGGCCTCCGAAACTAGAACAGAGCCCCTGCTACAAAGGGCCTCCGTAATTAGAGCAGGGTTCCTATAAGGCGCTATCCTTTCGGGTCTATGCAGGTTCTAGAAGCAACTCGACAAGATTACTGCAAGGCCTCTACAAGGCTTCGATGCCTTACGAAGGTTCTTTCCGGACAAAAAACCGATTGGGGGTAGACAAAGGATTCTGCAAAGGCTACCTAAACCCTAAACCCTAAACCATGGATTCGGAGATGGGCAGGGGTTAAAGGCTGAACGAGCAGTGCTTGTGCTAGTGACTAGGGGCTTCGGGAGTACATGGTCTTGGCCGTTTTGGACTTTCCGAGTTTAGGAGCCAGCAGAGATTGACATTTGTTGCGCCACCAAAATGTGTCAACTCTTGTGGCATCGTTTTGCTGCTAGTTCTGCGTGTCGTCATTAGGACCACGGAGATGCTTGAGATGCTGTGGCCCGTAGCCGTGTTGGGCTTCGCGAGTTGGGTCGTAGTTGATGGCAATGTTGCATTAAAAGCTCAACAGCTTGGGCTGCCAAGTGCTCGGCCGGATTCCTTGCTGCTGTGTAGACGACATATGATGGTGGTCATGCCCATGACACAAAACCATTACAACAGAGTACCCTTAGAGAAACCCTATTCGGTATGCCTATACGCCCTAAAGCCTAAACGCGGAGGCCATGACCCCCATCACGATACCCCTAAGAAAGCCTTAAAGGAAGTTGCATAAGCAATGACCGAGTCACCGGGGGCTGCACACCCGTCTCGTCCTCGAACGCACGGAGCGGGGACTCCGTGTAGTTGGCCCTGAATTTGCATGGCGGGGGTCGTCGGGCCAGGGTTTGGAGATTCAGAAATTCGATTCAGGGTTCTGCTGTGCCTACCACGCAATGGTATAGTGCTACGAAGCCATGTGGCAACTTTGCGGGTACAACGGCGATCATCACGGTAACCCTAAACCCTCAAAAGAAGCATGGTGATCCCAGCGGCCAGTCGCCCCAGGCGGAGCCTGCACGGAGGGGTGGGGCCTGGGCCTAGGTTCGGGTTTCAGAAGAGCGATCTACTGGACCCTAAACTTTCTTAGTATCCCTTAAAAGAACCCTTTAAAGGAATGAGTGACTTCAGGGTACTTCTGCAGGGAACTTTCAAAAGCCATGCCCGGATTTGCAGATGAAAGTCGCGTGGTTGCAAGGCAAATCAACAATCAAACAGAACTTTGGGACGAGCGAACCCAAGTGCACTTTGTCACCATCTGTGAGGATGGTTCTCTTGCGGTTGCTCTCGCACATTTGAAGGCAAGCCACACACGGAATTCTACGTGTAGAACAAGTGGAGGAGTCTCTTGCAAATATTTCATGTAGAGATTCCTCATAAGAAAGACCGATACTGGGGGATTTCCTTGTCTCTGAAACGCTTCTTTGATTAACGGCCCACGAACCCAGAATCCCAAATGCCTCTTAGTCCGACAAACCCAAAGACGAGGAGCTAAGGATAACAGCAAAATGTGACCGCTTAGTCTCTGTACAATGATACCATGAAATACCCTGCAATTAGGTTGTAATGATCAAGGTCCCCCACTGGAAACCTTATAAACACCCTTTTCAAACTTTTTCTGATGCTTCAGGCCCCATAGCCCTAAACCCCAAACCCTAAACTCCATCATGAGTCATCCTACCCCCAAACTTGGGAACACAGGGCTCGGCATCCCCCGCCTGTGAGTCCATCCTGGTAGAACATGCCTGGATCGAGGGCTTGTAGCTAGCTGTCGATTTCAACAGTCCCCAAAACTATCTGCAATTAGGGCTCTTTCATTATACAACTATCCCAAATCGATACCGAGTGTCGGGTTTGGAGTGCAGGGCTTCATCGAACAGGTGTAGTGCATGTAGGGCTTAGTTTGAGGCTGTGTGAAAATTTACGGGGTAATTGGGGCCTTCGATCTTAGGTTCCCAACCGGCGTAGTGTCCTGCGTTGAGTTTCAATCAAAACAACTCTCGACGTGGGTGGTTCTCAAAATTGTGGTCCGTTTTTGAATCCCTTCCCTAATATAGTATGGCACCTATTATTTAGGGTACCCAAAGAGCGACCTTAATTTTGACAACTACCTACGTGTCTTGGACTTCCGTCGTTGGGCTTGGTCTGCGATGCTTCAGCCGAATCCTTCCCAGAAAGCCCAATATCCCTTAATCAAGGAATATACCTTAAATTATAAGGGGGCGCACAATATGATTTAGGCCATATTCCTTAATTAAGGGGTATTGGGCTCTCTGGGTTCCCTTCATGGGATCACCACAGGGCGTGCGCGAGTTCCACATGCGGCATGCTGACAGCACGGCTCAAGAACATCCTAGCAGCCCAGTTGATCAGTTACTTCTATCCAGAGTTACTGTGCTTTGCTGCTGTGGCTATATAGGGACAACAACCTTTTCTGGACTATGCCATATTATGCTATGCTGTGCGATGCTGTACTATTCGTTACTATGCTATGCTATGCTATGCAATACCATGCCATACAATCCCATATCTTGCCACACCATAACATAATCTATCCTGCCCTGCCATACTATACCAAGCGGATATGTAGAGACGCTTGCCCAGAAACAAAAACTGAGGATGGGCTTTGATGTAGGGTTTGGCCAACTCAATAAATGCTATCTGGTGTTTATATGGTGGCTTTTAGGGCTTTACGAGGGTCGTTATGGACTTTTTGGGCTGGTGGCTTTAGGACTCTCGGGTATTCTCTCGTCTTTCAGGAGGAGTTCTAGTGAAGTAACCTTGGAGCAAGGACTGCATCTTGAAGCCAGGCTAGCTGTCCGTGTATTCCTCTCTGTCTGACGGCCTTTGAAATTCGCATTCCTCTGTCAGTTACCCGGTATGACAGCACTTGTGGTCACTGCACCGAACGAGGAACACTGACGATCTCAGCAAGGTACCGATGATGGCCATCATGGCCAGGCGACCGTTGGCGAGCTCCTGCAGCAGGGGGCAAGTCGTGCCCGAATGTAGTCGATGCTGTACCCCCTGCGCATACAGTTGCGATGTGACCCAGAAGTGGCAACAGAAGCCGATACTGTACAAGATGATGCTAGGCGGGCCGTCTGTGTGAAACCATAGAAGTGCACGACTGAAATTTTTGATCGCTCCACGGATACTCTTTCGGGAGAGCTCTAGACCCTGAGGGAGGGAGGTTGGACATATGCACAACTTGTCTTTGTAGTTCTAGAAATGCTCGTGCGACTCGAAGCATTGACATGTTCATCAAATGTCCGGCCTGAAGCTCTACTTGGAGGTTCATGGGTAGTCATAGGTAGGGTTATAAGTAGGATAACTATAGTTTATAAGTAGTTACAAGTAGGGTTCTAAGTGGGATAACTATAGTTTTTAACCCATATTCCAGGACATATAACCCCACTAATAATTACCCATGAACCTCCAAGTAGGTTTATAAAGGGCGAGGCGCTGCATTGAGCTTCTTGTTCTTCTCCTCAGGGTCTGCTGAGGTGAGGACGTACCAGCCGAAGTCGCCTGAAATACAGAAACTGCTCTCATGGCCTTTCCAAGCACCTTTGGGGGTTTAGGGTTTTGGGTTTGGGGTTTAGGATTTTGACAAGCTGAAACAATGCACGAGAGCCTGAAAGGGTTTGGGGCTGAGGTAATCGTACTGCTTATCATGACACAAGAAATAAGCCACTAGTCGTGGCAAAGCCAATAGCTGCAGGCATGCATGTGTAGATGTACACATAAACATGCAAAATATTTACTCATGTATCTGTTCATTTACTTGGATGGAAATGCTTTCTCTGCGTGTGTATATACACATATATGAAGTTGCTATATACATATATGGATCACAACGCATATACACATGTGCATACATATAAATATAAATATAAATATATATATATATATATATATATGTATATATGTATATGTATATGTGAGCGTCTGGCGACCGTCATCTGCTGTCCAAGCCACTGCTCCGAGGCCAACTTTCATGAGCGGACGGCCTATGGGTGTCGAGCAGTGGGCTGCCGAGCAGCAAAGCAGATGGGAGCGATTGGTGAGTGCCCATGACCATATGGTGAGATGCTCTCCGCTCTACCACAGCGAGGGGAGTTCCTCCCCACCACAATTTACTGTTCGGCCACCGGGTGCCGCGGCGATGCAGCTCGTCCCTGATGAGTTCCAACTTGGCCAACGGCACATCTCAGCATGGGTTGCCACGCCTTTCTCTGAGCCGGAAGTGGTCGACATACAGGTCCGCTTCCCCATGACCCTGGACTTCTTGGAAGAGGCCCTTCGAGACTCTCTCCGCCTCCTCCCGGACTACGCGAGCGAGCTCTATCCCACTACGCCGCAACTTGATGACCACTTTGCCAGCTTTGTTGCCGTACCAGGTTGGATTGAACTCACTGACAGGGAAGTGATTGTGATTGACGCCCGCCCCATTGGAGGAACGGTCTACCCAGTCTACCATGAGGGGCCCCTCACACGACAGACTGTACAACAGCACCTCATCGATGTCGAGATTGAGCTGGACTTCTTTGTATGCGGGAGATCCAGACCCCTTCGAGACGGCCGACCCCTTGAGCCTGTGATGGGTGGTGTCATTCAGGTGCGCGGAGCCGAAGCTCCCCCTGTCTGGTCTGACTCCATCCTCAACAGGTTGGGCCACATGGAGAGATGGAACCCCACCGTACAACCTCCTGGCCTACATGCTGGTCTCTTTTCTGTCTACCAGTCGGCTGAGGACCAGGTGATCCAGCCGGTCGATGACATTGACGACCGGCCCCTCGAAGTTGCCGCGGAGGACGCCTTGGACCTCGAACATGGTACGTGCTGGGTACGACTCCCGGAGCCAAAGATCGCCCGACTCACACATGCTGGCAGGGCCATCTGGGAACAAGTGGCCGTCCTCGACGGTGTTGAACAACATGACCGAGACGCCCGCGTAATTTTCCTGGACCTTCGAGGGCTTGGCCTCTTCCCACAATGGCTGCAGCTTGGCGGTGATGTTTTCAGGCCAGAGGAATATGTTGAAGGCCTTCAACTGCAAGACTACCCTGAATGGACCCTCATGGTAGTTGGCGGCGAGCCTTTACTGGAGGGCGGACTCAGAGTCATGCCATGTGAAGTCCTTACCATGTTTCTACAGAAGCCAGAGGCGGACCCGGTCGACCAGCCCGCCGACGACGACTCCGACAATGGCCCTGAGGACCCGGAATCGGACTACGATGATGATGACCCTATGAGCCCGTCAGGTGACGAACAGGTACCTCCTCCCCAACCGGGTGATTTTTCCAGAGGACCACCACCGCCTGAGCCGGTCAACCGCAGCCGATCGCCACGAGGCCGTACCAGAGCAGGGACGACCCACAGCACCGCTAAGACTACCCCTGCCAACTATGACCAAGAGCCTGGCGCCCCTACAACTCTGAACCTTGCGGAGGTGCTCCCCCCGCCGGTGTTCGACATTGCCCAAGAATCGCTCGCCCTGCCACACACCCAGCAGGACATAGCCGAGTTGATGAAAGCCTGGACGCCGAATTGGTTGGACTATGACACCGCGGCGCTGGCTCTAACGGATGCAACGAGAACTGGCCTCCAGGACCTCATCCATTGGAGCCAGGCCCTAAGCATGGCGGATGCCAAACATCCCCTACGGGTTCACCTCTATACGGACGGGTCCTTCAGTCAACGTCCTGGGCGCAGTGGAGCTGGGCTCGTTATCCTCATTGAAATTGGCATCCTCCTGAGCCTCTTCGGCATACTGGGAGAGCCTATTCTTGGAGCCTCGCCTTGCCCCTGGGGACCCTCAGAAGCCCCGGCCCTGCAGGCGGAACAGGCCGCGATTATCATGGCTCTGCTCTGGCTGGGTCAGAGCCTACATTTCTTGCAGGCCAGCGAGTACGTCCTTCATTTCGACTGCCAAGCGGCTGGCTGGTCAGCTGATGGTACGTTTGCTTGCTGCAATCCGCTGGCAGTCCGAACCAGACACCTTGAGTCATACCTGCAAGAGGTGACAAGACATAGGTTGAAATTCACCTATGTCCGAGCGCATGACGCGCACGCGTGGAATGACTTGGCAGACACTATTGCCAAGGCGGCTGCCAGTCAGACTGGAGCCCTTCCTGGTCCGCCGCACAATGTGATTGAGCATTTCCTACGACTTGATCTCAGCTGGGCGGCTGCCAGTCTCTATGGTGACAGACATGGATCCCTGCCGGTCCTCGCAGGACAGCGCCTTCAATGGGACCCCGGGCATCAGACAGCCGCCAGCCCTCTACGACCGGACGAGCTGATCCCTGTGCAGACTCCCAGTGCTGGTCCACCAGGGAGAGCCCGCTGTCTACAGCTCCGAGCCACCTCTATCAACATCCAGGGAATCAAAGGCAAATACAAGTACCTCTCCGACCAGCTGGCACAAGGATGCTACCAGACCGTGTTCTTCCAGGAGCTCAAAGATTCTGAGGGCCTCTGCCGCACTGGTGACTACCTCCGACTACACACGGCCTCCCACTCCCACTGGGGTGTCGGGATTTGGCTGAATCGCCGCATTGGGTTTGCAACCATTGCGGGCCACCCGGTCACGGCAGAGGAGGCAGATATCCATGTTCTACACAGCGACCCGCGATTGCTTCTGATCGCTGTGCGAAAGTTCCAGAAAAGATTCGTCCTTTTCTCAGGACATTGCCCCCACACTGGACACCCCCGAGAGCGAGATGTGTTCCTGCGCCTGCTCCAAGGTCTACTCGAAAAGGTGGGAGAAGCCTACATAGTCCTGGGTGGCCTTGATTCGAATGGCCGACCGCCCCCCAACTTCTCGTTTGTCACAGGTGATCTGCAGCAGGGCGAACCAGATGAGGCAGGTGCACAACTGGTACAATGCTGTCAGCACACTGGCCTCTGGATTCCGGCGACCTTTGGGGACATCCACGTCGGGACCACAACCACGTACGTTCACCCCAGTGGAGCCGAGCATCGCCTCGACTTTGTGCTGGTCGGGGGCCAGCATCACAGCACAGAAGCCCGGAGTTGGACGGACCTCGACATTGACACGGGCAATCGACAGGAGGACCATCGTGCGGTCTCCCTGCAATTGCGCGGACACTTCGATGGTGCCCGGGATACCCCCAGACTTCACCGCCCTCGGTATGACAGACAACGAATGCTCTCCGAAGAGGGCAAGACCGTTCTGGCCCAGGCCTACCGCGACTACGCCCCACCACCTTGGGAAACTCATGTCGATGTCCACTGCCAGCACTTCCAGGGCTACATTGCTGATGTGCTTAATAAGCACTTCCTCCCACCCAAACAAGGACCTAGAGCGTCCTACATCCCTCCCCAAGTTTGGGCATGGCGAGAGCTCAAATTGAGCCTGAAAAAGCGGACCGCCTACCGCAAGGATCTCTGGAAAACCCTGCTCCAGGCGGCTTTCGCACGATGGGCCGGGGACCTTACTGTTGACTTGGCCCCGGCAGCACGCATCGATGGACTCCTCTACGAGATCACGGCGACTGCCATTGGCATTGCCACCGCAAAGATCAAGCGGGAGATCTATCAAGCCAAGGACAAGTTCCTCAAAGGGCTCATTGCGGAAGGGGCCCATGGGACCGCGGATTTCCTCCGCAAGATGAAGCAGCACGGTGTTGGAGGTCGTAAAGCCCGGTCTTCATTCAAGCCTCTGCCCCGCCTGCTCCAACCCGACGGGCAACCTGTTGTTGATCGCTCTGCCCAAGATGTGCTATGGCTTACGCACTTTGGGAAACAGGAACTCGGCGAGGTCATTTCTACTACGGACTTCCTGCGACAGGAAACTGGCAAATGTGCCGGTATTGAGGAAGTCGAATGGACCATTGCCGGCCTCCCAACAGTCGAGCAGGTCGAGTCCGTACTACCTCCTGCGCCACGTGGGAAGGCTCCAGGCATTGACGGACTGCCCGGTGAAGCCTTTACTGCTGCCCCTCGGGCCCTTGGACTGGCAATGCACAGTCTCGTCACCAAATGCATGCTAGTCATGCAACAACCCATCCAGTGGCGTGGAGGCATCTTGTATGCCGCCTACAAGGGCAAAGGACCCACAACGGATGTTGACAATCACCGTTCGTTGTATGTCAGCAGCATCCCGGGGAAGGCTTTCCATCGGCTACTACGCGACCAAAACCAGGAGTGCCTCCAGCAGACACTGCACAGTCTGCACCTTGGCAGCCGTCGAAACTCTCCGATACAGTTCGCCTCGCTCTACCTCCTGAGCATCTTCAGACGAGGAGCACGTCAGAAGATTTCAACCGGCGCGCTCTTCCTGGACACGCGCTCTGCTTACTACAGAGTCGCTCGAGAAGTCGCCACTGGACCAATACGTGACGACTACACGATTGCCCGCATCTTCAAGCACTTCGAATTGGATGGAGAGGACATCCACGACCTCTACGACATCATACGAGCCGGGGGGTTGCTCACTGAGGCTGGTACCCCCTCTATGCTGAACGCCGCAGTCCGTGACATCCACCACAGGACATGGGCCATCAGCTCCTGCTCTACAGGGCAGAATGTTGCCTCCTCAATGGCCGGGAGCCGGCCAGGCGAATCCTTCGCTGACGCGATCTTCGCATTCGTCTATGGAAGAGTGCTGGGCCAAATCGCCGAGATTCTCGATGGCGAGGGTGTTCTTTCCTACGGTTCGTACGACCCCTCGAACGGCATTCTTGGCAATGGAGCTGCTGGTGACTCGCACCTCCTCAGAGATGCGACATGGGCTGATGATAGTTCTTTCCCTCTGCAGGACGAATGCCCTCACAGATTGGTCCGTAAGGCAGCCAGGGCCAGCTCGGTTGTATTATCGAGATGCAGCTCCTTCGGAATGTCCCCCAACCTCGCTCCGGGCAAGACGGCGCTGGTCTTGGCTCTACGAGGGCGGGGCTCCCAAAAGGCTCGGCGCGAACACTTCTCTCAGGATGGAAAAACACTCCTCCTGGAAGACCTACAACTTCGCATCCCGATCGTACCACAGTACACTCACCTCGGCGGCGTCCTTGACATGCACGCCACCGGGAAAGCAGAACAACGCCGCCGCCTGGCCCTCGCTCAGAGCTCCTACGACAGCGGCAAAAGACTGCTATACCAAAACAAGACCATTCCCCTCCGTACCAGGGCCAAGATCTTCGAGGTCTCGGTGCTCGCAAGCTTGTTTAATCTATCACAGGTTCTGCCGACTGATGCTGCATGGCACAGCCTCACGGATGGCTACTCCCGCATCGTCCGTAAGCTCCTCGTGACCCACGTGACCGGCGACCAGCTCTTCCACGTCCCGCTCCCGTTCGTGCACTTGGCCACTGGTTGCTGGAAGCTTTGTCTTCAAGCACGGCGAGCTCGACTCAGCCTGCTGAGTTCCCTGGTTTGTCATGGACCTGACGCACTATGGGCTGTCATCCAGGCGGAAGAAAGCTGGGCGAACGTCGTTCGGGATGATCTACGACGACTTGCTGCTGCTCAGCCCGGCTGGCCAGGAGATCAGCCTACCGACTGGCCGGCATGGTGGCATGCCATCCGCGACAATCCCGGCCGCTTCAAGCTCAAGGTGAAGCATATGCTTCGCAAAGAGCATGAGGCGATGATGGCCTCTGACGAGGTCCAGGTCGGGCTCTGGGCCATGTACCGAAAGGCCAGCGCCCGCCTACCGCCGCCACCGAAGACACAGAGCCAATGGATATGTCGGGCCTGCAGCTGTGGTTTTGCCACCAAAGCACGTCTGAGCGTCCACTACTTCAAGACCCATGGCAGAGTCTCTCGACACCGACTCTGCACGATAGGTACGGAATGTCGTGCATGTGGCGGTCGATACTGGACTCATGCACGACTACATGCTCACTTGGCGGCCTCACCGGGATGTGTTGAGGCCCTAATTGCCAATGGTCTGACTACGGCACAGCCCCTTCCCGGAAGGGGCAGTAAAAGATGGCGGCAGCTACAGCTCGAACAGTTCACATGGCAACCAGTTCAGCACGATGGCCCGGAGCCTGCACTCGAGCATGGCGTATCCCTCGACCAGCCGCCTGACATCTGGACCATCGAGATGGACTCCGTCTACAAAGCGATTTGCGACTACTTCGAACATGGTGATGCCGGGCAACCTTGTGAACAGATAAGGCAGACCCTACGGGAGCAAATGTCGCAGAAACCGCTATACCGAGAGGAGGAGTATGCTATTCTGCGAAGAATAGCTGAGGATGCCCGAACTTTCCAGCAAGACACTGAGTTCGTCGGGCTGTACGACCACCTCTGTGAGGTGCTACTTGACCCGGAGGAGGTGCTGCATTGCCCGGAGCACTCCTCTGACCCCCGCGACAGGACCCTCGACACCTTCCGGGAGTTCGAGAAGGAGATCGCGGCGGTGGAGTGGCATGAACTGATCACGGCAAACCAGGAGTACGGGACCCATGAACAGGCGCTAATTCATCTTACCACGGGCTGGGAAGCTGAAGAGCCCGCGAGAAGTGGCGTCTGGGAAACTTCAGCCGTGCTCCGGCAGCCGTACCTCGTTGTCCCAGAAAAGATCAGAGAGGCTTGGGACCGCGTTCTCGAAGCAAGAACAGCGAGCCTACAAGCCCCCAGTGTCTTCTGGGCGAGCCCTTTTGCAATGCCCTTTCGAGCATTGCGGGCGGATGTGCAACCTAATTAGCTCGCCGCGACGACCCCTGAAAGCACGGAAATGGAAAATATGTATATGTATATATATATATATATATATATATATGTATACACACGTACAGACACACTATATGTGTATACACATCTGTATTTCTGTCTGTCTGTCTCTGTCCATACGGCTAGCCAGGTGGCTAGCTAGGTATAGCCATCATATTCTACATGCATGCGCAGCCAGGGCTCAAGTTCACAATGGTGCGGACAAAGATCAGGCACCCGAAGGTGGCTGCATTAGGTTCCCCGTTATCACATCGTGCATCCAAGTCCCAAAGCCCTAAACCACAACATCCTAGATACCCTAGGCCGCAAACAACAAAGAACTAAACTCCGGACCCCAACAGCCTAAGACAGCCTAAACCTTGAAGCCTTTAAACAAAACCCTTTACACACCCTAAACCACCCTTAACCCTAAACCCCTAAAACCCAATACCCTAAAACCCTAAAACCCCTCAAGAGCCTTTAAAATCCCCAAGACAAGTCCAAGGCGCCGGGGCGACCGCTGGCGATGTCCGATCCTGCGCCACGGCTGACCTGCGGTACTCTTGGGCTCCAGAGCTTCGAGTTTCGGGTTGTTTGGGAGTTAAGGCTTCTAGGATTTGGGGTTTAGGGTTGGTTTAGGGATGAGGATTTGGGGTTCAGAGTTTCGGGTTGTCTAGGGGTTAGGGCGGTTAGGTCTTTTTTGGTTGAGGATTTGGGGGGTTGGGGTTTACAGCGCGGGTTAGGGGCTCGGGGATTTGGAAGGTCCGGATGTCCAAAAAAACCGTGGAGGACCTCCAAACCCAAAAAGCTCTCAGACAAACCCCAATAGACAAAACTAATGCAGTGTATGTACATGTATATGTATATGTACACACGTACACACACACACATACATACATATGTCATCATAAATGCGAAAGCCAATCTGCCGTGCATGCTTCCGCATGCCTCGCACCAGGCCATCCAAAGGAGGATCTGGGTCCAGCCACCTGTGGGTTGAGGGCTTTAGGGTCTAGGGGTTTAGGGATTAGGGATTAGGGGGTTTCAGGGATTCGGGGTTGTGGGGATTATGGGTGTGGGGGTTTGGCTTAGGGCTTTAGGGTTTAGGGCTTAGGGACGCGCACTGCTACCTCTGCTCCGGCTACTGTTCCTTCGGCGGTTGTTCTTGTTCTTACTACTACGACGACGACTACTTATTACTACTCATGCTAGAGCTGCTGCAGCCGCTGCCTCCTAGCGCTGCCAGCCTGGTCCATCAGAGCACCGACTTCCTCCTATGGGCAGACTTGGGTAAACGCGTCGAGGAACGGCCCTTGGTCGTGCGTGATTACCACCCTCAGGCAATGCTCGAGCCCCGCGCCTCCAACAACATCGCTCCAACCCTTCCAACTGCCTACAAGTCCTGACAGCTGCCTGTTGGTAAGACAGCCGCAGGCTTTAGGGTTTCAAAGGGTTCATTCATCAGACTGCGATCCGGGAAAGCTGGGAGCTCTTGCTAGCTTGGAACCACAGCCGAAGCCCCAAGCTCAAAACCCAGCGCCCCCAACCTCAAACGACGAACCGGAATAGAAAGAGCAACCCATGAATGTATACATACATATGCACGTGTGTGTATATATATATATAACTGAATGTATACATATCTATATATATATATATATATATACACGCACATACACACACACACACATACATACATACATACATACATACATACATACATACATACGTACATACGTACATACATGCATACATGCATACATACATACATACATACATACACGCACACCCACACACCCACACATACATACATACATACATACATACATACATACATACATACATACATACAAACATATATATATATATATATATATATACATATTGAGCCCTACAGCCCACATCCTGAACCCCCCGCCACAAGCCCGGCCTGCGGGAACCTTGGAGATGGCTGCCAAGCCATTGGGGATATCGGCGAACTTGAGGCCGCTAGAAGGATCCAGGTAGCCTCTTTCAGAAGAGTGTAGAGGCTTATTTGCAGAGCTGTCAAGGATGTCAGGGGTTGTAGATTTACTGGGGTTTTAGGGACTTTAGGGTTTTGGGTTACGGAGCTCTAGAGTCCACAACGTGGGGTCTGAGGCCTGAGGAAAAGGTTCGCGTGATGTTGCTTCCACTATACACGGTTCGGAGCTTGGTGTCTCAGTGCCTGTAGGCCTTGGGCGCAAGACGTACGTCCTGAAGCTTCTCATCATCTTGGCCTTGGCTTCTGAGAGATGTTGAGTGGCTCAGCTAGTTACGATCTTTATGGCCCTCGGACTTCACGTTTTGTCCCTCAGGGGTGCTCTATGATATACTACGAGATGCCGAAAAAATGAACGAGTCACAGTCTGCAGCCTTGCTCAAAGCCCAAGCTCTCCAACATAGATCCCAGGATCCAGAAACCCAACTCATGACACTGTAGACTATCATAGTATACTTTGGTATGTTACAGACTACCATAGTAAGCCAAGACTAGGGTTTAAAAGCAGGATAGTAACTGTAGCATGGTAAGTCTCGTCCTCAACTCCCAACCTTCGCGCCGCAACCACTCAGCCCCAAAACCAAATCCAAAGAAGTTATAAGTAGGGTTATACCTAAGGTAACTATGCTTATAACCCAGATTAGGGGACCTATAGCCCTTCTTATAACTTCCCATAGATCCGGGAAGCCATCAAAGTGCGAAAAAAAACGCGCAATGGCATGATTGTGAACAACAACCTGAACCGTATCTGTAGACAAGCTATGGCAAGTTGTATGCCGTAGTGTGTTCGTATACATCCTCAGTCTCGGGTTTCGGGTTTAGGGCGTAGGGGTAGTTTCGCTGAGAAATCGAAAAAAGAACCATCCCCCGTTCCCTCGGGTCGACCTGGCCACTTGCCGGCAATCTCTGGGGTGATGTATCCTTGCTCGAGCTGAAGCTTAGGGGGTCCTAGACAGAGGTTGTTGATAGTTCTCATGGCGGTTTAGGATTTTTAGAATTTATTTGGATGTTCAGGGTTTAGGAGTTTAGGGTTGGGGCTTCGTGTTTAACGGTTTTGGCTTCAGTGCTGGGGGTTTACGGGTGCTTGTCGAGCTCAATCTACTCTACGTGGCTTAGCGAAGCAAAAGCTCGAGGGCTACCTGAACCCAAATTCAGCGAAACCCAACCAACGCCTATTGCACGCCCTGAACGCCTGAGCCTTCTACCTTAGAAGCTGCCCCCACCCTGTAATAGTGGTATAATAGGAATATACAAGGGCCCTAATGTAATCCTTATAGTCACTATTACAGGGTGGGGGCAGCTTCTAACTTCTACCCAAATGTGGCACCGGAAACCTTGCACTCCATGCCATGGACCTTTAACGAGCAACGTACCGGGTTTAGGGTTTAGGGTTTATGGTTTAGGGCTTAGCCCCTAACCGCCAGAAAACTTGTTCACGGTGTGGGAGTTTCCGAAAATGGGGGAGCCTAATGTAGCACCCTAAATTGTAGGATCCCTATTCAAAGGACCCCAGAATAAGGGCACTCCCTTGTTTTCTGCCGTGTAGGGTTCGAGCCGTCGGGGCGCTGAGTACTCTAGGGATTCGGAGTTCAAGGCTTCAGGCTGCACCCATGAGCTATACCCCCCTTAGAACCATAAAAATGGCATTTTGAACAGGGTTTAGGGTTTAGGGGCTAAGGGTTTAGGGGTTTAGGGTTTAGGGCCAGAGAGCCCAGTGCACCTTAATTCAGGAAGTTTTCCTTAACTTCTACAGGGATTCATATTATGATTTAAGCGATATTCCTTAATTAACTTGTATTGGGCTGTTTGGGTGAGAGGGACGTTGAAAAATTGTGCCCGCAACTGCTCCTATGCAGAAGCAAAACAGAAGAGCCCCAAGTATAGGCCAGCAAGCAGACAAGCCACAAAGGTTCGAGGAGTTCTTTGGCCCGAATCCGAGAATCCGACACCCGGGTGTAGCAAGTTCCCAAACCCAACAAATCTGAACATGATGTCCTGAGCCGTTCTTCCGTGACCCCGAACGCCCCAGAATGCCACACCAATCTTGGCTATAAGCCCCAACCCGAACCCAAACACGTAACTACAGTCTAAACCCTAGACCTCAAACCCCAAGCCCTTCATACCTGACTGCCGAGCATCCCATGGTTGCTAGCATGGCGATGCGTCCATGCTTCCTTGATTGAAACACGAACTTCCAAGAGATTTTGAGGGTTTGTTGGGATCTTAGAGGTTTAAAGTCGGGTTTAGCTGTCCTTCCAGGGCTTCTTCAATTCCGGGTCCGACATTAGTAAATTAAGGTTCAGCGTTTCGGGCTGTAAGGGTTTGGATCCCCACTTCGGGCGGTCTGAGTTTGGGCCCGCTGCTTTCCAAAACCCCCGCAGGGCTTACAAAAGACGGAGCTCCCCAAACCCTAAGCCCTAAACCCTGAAAGCCCTTTAACTTCAAGACAATGAAGCCCTTACACCCTAAAGCCCCACACCCTGGACCGTTGAGCTTAAGACCCGAAAAAAAGGCACTGAAACCCGAGACAACCGTCGGGCCCTGACTGTGGGCGGAGGCGTGTCCCTAGTCTGCCTACGCCCCAGAATCTTAACCGAGCCCTCGTAGTAAAGTTTAACATTACCGTAATGTTGTAACGTTCCTGGGTAACCCTCACACCGCCATAGAGAACTTTGTAGTTGCCCTTCTTAGATACAACCATCATCCCTTTATTTAGAGGCCGCTATCTCCTTAACCCCCTTCCCCTTATGGGTACCGGTGTATTATTCCTGAACCCGAAATGAACCCCAAACCCCAAAACCATCAAAAACCCTAAACCCACAATTCCTGAACCCCTGAAGCACTACAGCGTACACTCCAAACAAGTCTCAAGGAGCCCAAACCCTAAAGCCTAAAACTCCCTGAACCCCAAGTTCCCAAAGCCCCAAAGCCCCATAACACCATACGCGTACTAGTATCAGCTACAACTTAGGGCCCTATACGAAGCCCAATTTAGTAGCCCTTATACCCTCACCACTACCCCCCAAACCCCTTTGCTTTAAAGGCCATCAAGTATGATCTCGGACCCTGGATACGAAGCTCATATATAGTAGCCCTTATATACCCTCAGCCCTACCTCCCAACCCTGTTGCTTTTTGAAGGCCATGGTGCAGCTCTACGGAGCGCCTTCGCTGGAAGGCCTGGGAACGTTAGATCTGAGCCCGGAAATCTCCCCAAAACAGGCCTTGTTCTACGGTTATGGGGTCTATCGTTCAGGGGTTTGGGGTTTGCTTGGAGGTTCATGGTTAGTTGGGAGTAGGGTTATGAGTCGGATATCTATAGATTATAGATGTAACTTGGTATAACCATATTCATACTTCTCGCCCCACTTACAACTTCCTTTGGGGGGGGTTAGGGGTGCAGGGTTTAAAGGCCTAGGGCTGAGTTAATGGACGCTACTCGAATAAAACTACAGTACTCTATCCGATCTTTGTACGGGAATGCGAGTATCATAGGGTTTGGCAAGGTCCTGTGCAGGCTGTAGGGCTTCTTGAGGCTTGTGGACGGGCTCGTAGGAACTTTTACTGCTCCTGTGAGACTCTAGGTCTTTATGGCGCTTGGGTTTCGTAGGGTTACCGAGTTTTCACCTCGAGAAACCTAGCCGAACAAGCAGCCCAACTCCTCAGCACCATCACACATGGACACCCCGAGCAGCCCTTGTTTTGCTTACTGGGACTGTTGGCGTTCTTCCCAGATGATGACAGCGTGTGTTGTGCAGTTTCATCAGTCTACGACAGACGCCGTATGCTCATCGCCACTGCTTGCGAAATACTCTGATCGTTCGGAATATGGCTAGACTCCAAGATCCAGAACCCTCAGCCGAGAGCTCGCAACCCTGCCTCTACATCCCTATCAGCCTCAAAACCCCTAAACACTTAAGTCAATGCCCCAGAACCAACGATCCCCAACCCCAAACTCTAAAGAAGCCCCAAAAGTACCGAAATTGAAAACCCAATTCCCTACCTGAACCCAAAAAGACCTCCCTGAATCCTAGACCCTAAGCCCTAAACAGAGAAAAACCCTAAGCTCTAATTGGGTTGGCCTTGAAAGACCCTGAAAAACATTCATATATAGGGTCCCTTATAAACCCAAATAAGGAAAATAAAAACTGCCCCACAATCCTACCTAGCTGAGCCCCTAAGCCCTTCCTATAGTAGACCCTGGCCTCCACGTCGCCATCCCTGGCGAGCCCTAGAGGGTCCCAAAAGCCGACCTTGCTGGCTTGATCTCATCACCGAAACTACTCAAACCTAGGGTTTAGGGTTTAGGGGTTTAGGGTTTAGGGTTTAGGGGTTTAGGGTTTAGGGTTTAGGGTTTAGGGTTTAAATTTCTAAGACAAACATAAGGGTTCTACTAACTAGTGGTTTGGGGTTTCCCTTGGCTCTTTAGCTCCTCATTTCAGAGGGCTTATCATCATCCCTGGCTCCTTAGCTCCTCCAATATCAATGGCTTGGAAATAATCAGACCTAAGGGATACTAAAACTACCAAGGGAACTATAAGGGTTCTACCATACTAAAATGTGAGGGCCTAATCACCGATATCATCAAACCTACTAGTAGGGGATACTAAATTTCAAAGAAGGAAAATTAAAGTTCTACCATACTGGTATGTAGGGGCCTAGATCTAAGGGATACTAGAAGGGCTTTACCGTACTATAGTAGGGGCCTTAGTCATCAACACAGTTTTTGGGGTTAGTATTCTTGCATTAGAAGAAAATACAATATGCAACCCTTGAGGAACAGTATTGGCAGTACTTCAGGTCCGCACATTTTGGGGCGATCCACCAACAATTCCAAACCAGTAAAACCCTAAGATCCTCGACTCTAAGCGAATAAATGGAGGTTCATGGGTAGATGTAAGTAGGGTTACAAGTAGGATAACTAGCCTTATAACCCATATTAATACGGACTTATAACCCGACTTATAAGTACCCATGAACGTCCAAGAAGGGTGGAGGGCCTTGGGCCTTGGGCACCCTGTTTGCACGCATTGGGCCCTTGTCTCCTTTGTAAGCTTGTGTTTCTTCGGACATGCGCAAAGCACACCCTGATTCCAAAATCTCAACCCCAATAAAGCGGAACACACAAAAAATCAGGGAACAAGGAACACAACGACAAAGCCAATGCAAAGAATAGCCCTTCTTAGTTGCTGAGTTCATAAGCCGCAAAGTGTTCAAGTTCAGTTTTATAGGGGGTCATAGTATCCCCCTAAAGTGTAAAGTGTATCCACGCAGCTACCAAGCCTTAAAGAGGAACCCAAAGCTCGGAGCCGAGGCGCCGGAGCCTGAACTCCGAGCTCGGACTCGAATGCTCTAAGCCTCAGGAGCCCATAAACAAAAAAAAACCCTGAGGGTTTAGGGTTCCGGCATAATTTAGCTTCGGCTTCTTGTATAATTTTTCGGGGTTGCTTGCAAGATTGCTATGAAGCCCTGCTTGTTGCACCAAAAACCCTCTTATCAAAGCTTCTCCGTTCCCTTTGGTATGGAAAGTTTAGCGCCTTACATACGGAAGTTTCCGAAAATAGGGGTACCTAATTTTGAGGTACTTATAATAAGGATCCTAGCAAAAAGGGTACTATATTAGGGTCCCCTATTTTCGGAAACTCCCATGTCTGTGTGGCGTCGCAGGGTGTCATGACTGGGTGGGGTCATCACCATCACCAATAAGTTCTTGTTGCAGGATTAGCAACTTCATTACGCAGGTCCTCCGTTCGTGTGTCGCCGGATGGGCCATACAAGGCTCTGCAGATGTGGACCTTCTACTCTCCGTAGGAATTACGTTAGTGTCGGCCCTAACCATGCCAGCGGCGCATGCACACTGGTACTCAGCAAGAGTCGCATATTCGTCACAGAGCCACATTTGCTAGAGCAACATGAGGCTGAAACCCCCTTAAGCCTCGAGTTCGAGAAACCAGTCGCTAGGGCCGTAAACCCCAAGACCAGAATCCTAAACCTTCCCTAAGCTTTTACCCTTAGGCCATGAGACTTTCAACCCTTCTTCTCCTAGCCACGCAGCGCCAAACGGTATATACCCCAAACCTCGAAGCCGTAAAGCCTTAATCCCTGTAGCCATGAGAACCTTGGGTCTCAAACCCCAAGCCCGAAACCTAGAATCCTGCAACCGAAATCGCAAAATCCTGAGGCCCTGATCCCTGAATTCCAGGTCAGGTCCTGTAGCCCCAAAGCATTTTTCAAGGCCAAACCTCAGTAGAATTGAGCGAACAAAGAAGTTCTTCCCGCAAACCCTTAACTCTGTGATGCCGTTCAACCCTGAAGCTCTCAAACCTACAGTAGAAACCAAAAAGTTGGAAACCCTATAGCCTCAATCCTTAAGAGTAATGTATAGGGAATCCCAGCACCACTTGGCCTTAATTCGGTTTCCAACTTTATGGGGTTTACTGTAAAGCCTAATACTGCCCAACGCGCTCCGGTTTCCTGCCCTCTTATCGGCCAGAAGGCGCTGTGACCTGGGCCTTTCCGGCCACCTTTCGGCTGCTGTTGGCCTTTCTGGCGGCTTCTTCGGTTTAGGGTCCGTACTTGGAGGTTCATGGAAAGTTATAAGTATGTAGGGTTATAAGTAGGATAACTATAGTTATAACTCATATTAAGGGACTTACAGCCCCACTTATAACTACCCATGAACCTCCAAGTAGGGTCCGTAAGCAACAGCAGCCACGGTAAGAACATTAGCAACAGCAACACGACGAGTGGTACTATCTGCAGAAGCCGCTGTTCTCGAGAAACGAGATCCAAATCCGAAGCGACATTTTCGCGCCAGGGCCCCTCATGACGAATCCCTTGATGGCTTGAACTGCTACCCCAAAAAACGCGCTGAAAATATCCCATGCTCAAACCCTAACATCCGAAACTGCCCCGAAGCCGAAGCTCACAGAAACCCAAATCCCAAACGACCTAAAGACAAAGAGCCCTAATACCCCTTTATCAAGGAATATACCTCAAATCATAAGGACATTCATATTATGATTTAAGCTATATTCCTTGATTAAGGGCTACAGTGTTGGGCTCTCTGGAAACTTTTGTCGATAGTACCCGAAATAGTAGGATCCTTATCACAAGGACCCCAGATATGGGAGCCCCTAATTTTCGGAAACTCCCTGCTTTCGCTATTATGATTTAAGCTGTCTTGCTTAATAAATTAAGGGGTATTGGGCTCTCTGGGAACTTTTTTTCGCAGGGAGTCCGCGTAGACGGCGCCGGCGGAGATCGCCACGGCGGAGGCTGCGCTGATGGGCGCGCTGGAGGGCGCTGGCCGGGCCTACGCATGCTTGCAGGGTAAGGGCCCTATAAGGGCTCTGTGGGGTCTAGTATTACTTCATGTGTATGCATGTGTGAAAATGTACTTATGTACATCTGTATGTATGTATGTATGTATGTAATTATTATGTATGTGTACGTATATGTATCTGGGAGGAATCGAAAACGCCCTAGTCTCAAAAACCAGGAAGAAGGGTAAAACGGAAACAGACAAGTGAGCAATGGTCATGGCTATGTGAAAAATGAAAACTGACGACTGCGTTTGTGCCTGCAGCGAAGGTGATGTTCATATGATGGCGGTCATGATGGTGGTGATCAAGTACAAGCTACAGATTGCGGCGCAAGTTTCCAGAGCTACCTGCTGTGGATCCGAGGCCGACTTCGTTCTCAAATAGTCATTCGATTATGCGTTCTACTTCTACCTGTGAGTCTCGTACATGCTTATCCACCTGTGTCTGTGTATGTATGTGTGTACTGGCAAATATACACGCAGCGCACCCACCCATACTTCCACCCATCCATCTACAAAGCTACCCGTCTATCCGTCTACCTGCTCACCCATCTATCTGTCTATCCGTGTGCATATACCCTTTCTTCTTATCTAAACACACACACACAGGGACTTACGTACATACATATGTAATTATATATATATATATATATATATGTGTGTGCACATAAATACTTGCTTACATACATACCTAGACACATAAATCCAGAGACGCGACTACATACATACATATATATATATATATATATACACATACATACATACATACATACATACATACATGCATACATACATACATACATACACACCTATATATATATATATATATATATATATATATATATATATATATTTATATATTTATATACCACATGCATACACACAACCATGCATGTACACACATATACATACATGTATATTCGTAAATGTGCATCTTTGTTTACATGTATGTATACACATGTGTATCTATATATAACTGTGTATACACATATGTATACATATATATATATATATATATATACATATATACATATATATATATATATATATACATACTGCATATGTTTTTATGTACACACACCTATGTCAAGTGCACTTACATAAGTAGGTGTCCGTGAGTATGTATGTGCGTGTACAGCTTGCTGGTTGGTTGTTTGGTTGGTTGGTTTGGGAAAGGAAGCAGTGAAGCTGGTAGCTACGCCTGTAGGTCGGCAAGTAGGTAGAATGTGTGTGTGTGTGTGTATATATATATATATGAAAAGCAAAATATGCGGACAAACAAACTATGACCAACCAGAACACATGCGTGCACAAGTGATCAACTGCTATATAATAGCTGCAGCTCCCAGAAACAAATAGACATGTGCATCACGATTCAAAACCACTACACATACATGTATGTATATAAATACACTAGCCCTGAACTTATCTGGTTGGGTGCATGCAGGTTTGCTACTGCAGCACGTGCGACAAACTTGTAGCATATGCCAACGCAGAAATTGAAATGGCGTTGCAAGGACCCTTACATTGCCAATCCTTAACCAAAAACCAAAACCCTTCAGACCCTCGCACCAAACCTCTAAATCTGTACTTAACCTCCTAAATTCTGAGCATACATATGCAGCGTCCGCACGCAGTATGCAGCTTCCCTGGGCTCTGGCTCTGGCCCCTAGAGACACGGTCGCGCCCCTGCCTGCTGCTGCGCCTGCGAGGTCGCACGGAGGGCCCCTGTGCAGGAAAATCATCGCAAACTATCTGCAGCCGCTCTCCCCGCCTATTGTCTCGGTGGACCCATCTTCCAAACATCTTGCTTGCATGACTTGACCATGCACACGGTGGATGCATGCATGAGGGCATGCGAACCTTAACCGGTTATCTTCGAGATTTTCTGATTTAGGCCTCCTGTTGTCTGCCGCCTTCCACGACCTTAGGTTTTAGGACGGGGAGATTCGCGCCGATTCGCGCCCACGAACTGGCACGACCTGCTGTAAACCTAGAAGAACCCTGATACAAGAGCAGCAAAACACAATTCATCAAGGTTCCGAAGAGCTCGAAGAATGGCCGACAAAGCTGCAACAGCCAAAAACTCCCACACATCTTAAGACTTCAACCCAACTCCCGTCAAAACACACACACACACACAAGAACCATAAACAGAGAACCATTCTAATTTTGTGACATGCTGCTGCACAACCCGAAGCCCAAAGCCAAAATACACCCTGGAAGCCTGAAAAACCTTCTAGCACCCTTAGAGACAAGTATACGCCAAGCCTAACCCCCAAATTACAAAAACCCTAAACTCTAAAACCCCAAATTACTAAAACCCTATAAACTCTAAAATCCTAAAGCACTACAACCCTAAACCTTAAAAGCCCTATAAACCCTAAACCTGCCTTTGGGCTGGCTTGTTCCGGCGATGAACGCGCTTCCTGCTACGACGGAGGCCAGGCCTCAATCCCACTGGGGCGAAGATGATCCTTTAAAGGGGTCTATAAGTATCATTATAAGGATTCCTTGAAAGGGATTCCATGGCGAGGGTTTGAGGGTTCAGGGGCTTCGGGTTTAGGGAGTTTAGGGGTTGACGAGTTGGGGCCTGGGCGTTTAGGTCTCACGGGATTGCCTTTTCCGAGGTTTTGCTGTGTGTGTGTGTGTGTGTTAAGGTTTTGGGGTGAAGCACTATCGGATTATCGGATGGGTGAGTTTAGATGCAAGGTTTTAGGGTCATAGGTTTCAGGGCCCCTGCAGCTGTAGGGGCCCAGGACCTCAGGTAAGCAATCTATTAGGCTGGGATCTTCCATCTTCCCCTCTTGCAGTAGGCCAGTGCCCAGAGAGCCCAATACCCCTTAAATAAGGAATATACCTTAAACTATTGGGGGATTCGTATTATGATTTAAGCTACATTCCATAATTAAGGGGTATTGGCATTGGGCTCTCTGGGTGAAGTGTGCGTGGTTCCTGTGCCGGGAAACCCTACAGTCGCTTACGATTCGATTTTGTTCAATCTAAGGATGCCCTCTGCAGGTACAGGGCGGAGAGCAGGTTCAGGGCTCTACGATGGGGCCCTAATATAGTGCGTGCTATATACAAAGATGTATATGTATCTTTGTTCATATATATATATATGTTGATTTAAGTGTGCGTGCAAATATATATACAAACAGAGAGAGAGAGAGAGAGAGAGAGAGAGAGTCTTCTTATGTTTTGGGTTAAGTATTCAGCTTATATCTATTTACATATATATATATATATACATATAATAACATACAGATATAGTATAGTTACGCATACATACAGATGTGTCGGCTTGTAACTTCGACTCATAACTGTGATGATCGTCGTCGTACTCATCATTAGCAACGATATCGCTCATAGTGGCAGGTGCTTTTGCTAGCCTCGTAGACTTAGTATTATCTATTCTTCCACGTGCATTACTGCAATGCTGTGGTGCTCTGCGTGCTGTGGTGAGTGATGCTAGGATTTGGCATCAAACGGACCCGAAGTCCGTCACTCAGAACACCTATCCCCACCTGAGTGCACCATGACAGCCCTAGCATGCCTGGTCAGGTCCTCTTTGACGGCGCAAGCTGTTGCCTAGTCTTCTACTCTATCCGGACCCGAAAGCCCAAGCCAATGGTCCAAGTCGAGGGTTCAAGTTCTTCAGGGTTTGGAGTGCAGTGCTTGGGGGCCTTGATCGTTAGAGTAGGGCCTTGTGGTCTATCAGAGTATACATCTACCGAGGAGCCTTAAGGAAACATTCCTATACCAAGTATTCCGACCCCGAATAGAGGGGAGTCTCTCGGCCCCGCGCCCACGGCCGTGCCAACAGTGCACTTCTTCGAGGCCATCCTGCTAATGGAGAATCTGGACGGCTGGGCGGTGCGTCGAGCACAAAAAATGTTTGAGCCTCAACTTAGGGCTCTGCGGCAGGACGAGGACGGTTGAGGTAAGTTACCTCCAGGCAAACTTCAAAGCTCTGTGGGTGGGACGGCGCCTGCCGATCCATGCCATGACTTGCAGTGCTCGAGCTGCTGATTTGCTTGCTCACAACCCCAAACTCTCAACTCACAGACACCGCAAATGGCCCTCGAGCCCGCGCCCGAACTTTGATTCTACAGCGGTTGCCTTTGCCTTGTCAAAAGCCTACTCGGGGCTCAGGGCTTACAGGTTTAAGGTTTTTATGGTGTTTGGGGGTCTGCTACGGCCAGCAGTGCTATACATGATGGGCGAAATACCTTTTATGCCTTTCGATACTCATCTTAAAAGTCTTTCTGCGTTTCTTCTGACATGGTCGTTCGGAAATCTCTCGGTCTTCCGGTTATTGCCTGCCTTCAAAGCCTGCTCGCACTACATACAAAGGTGGCCTTATATGCGAGAGAAGAACGGTTGTGGCATGATATACCGTAACTATAATCAGGAACCCGAGGTAGCGGTATTGGCAATTGACCCACCTGTACAGTCAATGACCAAGCTGGAACACTACGTCTACCATAAACTCCCCCAAAACAATGCGCTAGTGATTCAGGCCTCCACATACCCTACACCCTAAGCCCTAAGCCCTATACCCTGTACGCTACACCCTAAACCCGACACCCTAAACCCTATACCCTACAAAAGGGGCCTTAGTAATCAGGATAGGGTTTTGGGGCCCAATATACCGTCATTATAGTAAGGAACCCACCCAAAAAATAGTATTGGTAATTTTCTAGGCCCTTATAGTAAACCCTCTACCCTAAACCTTCAGACTTTCGATTGCCCAAAATAGTATTACAGTTTAGGCCACTATAGTAAACCCTATACCCTACCCATACCCAAAACCCTTAGACTTTCGATTGCATGCAATGCTCCTCCGTCCTTTTCACTGAGGCGCTTCTTCGGAGGACCCCGTCCCCCCTGACCCGCTGACTCATCGAGGGTGCCCATTTTGGGATCTAGGGGGGTTTGGGGGTTAGGGGTTAGGGGTTTAGGGGTTTAGGGATTAGGGCTTTAGGGATGAGGGGTTTAGGGATGAGGGGTTTAGGGATGAGGGGTTTAGGGATTAGGGGTTTAGGGATTAGGGGTTTAGGTGATTCGGGCTGTTAGTATAAGCTTGGACTTCGGGTTGCAAGGCTCATGAGACAAAATGACACTCAGCTAGAATATATTGTAATCCTAGATACGAAGCCCGATGAACCTTTAAGTGGGGTGTGAAGGAGCTTCGTGCGGATTCGGGCTCGAGGTCAGCAAGTGCAGGCAGCTGATGGTAGAGGTCTTGCCCCGTCTGAAGCTACCAATTTCTATGCCCCCCTTACAACCATAGTAACAATAATGGTTTTAATATTCTCTTGGGTTTTATATGAACAAAAAATGATTCCTAAGGAGACTATAGATTTTCGCCCGCTGTAGTACGGCCTGCGTATTTTGAGGCCTATGTCTTTCCGTACACATTAACATGTGGTAGTGTACTATCTGCTTGTACATTTCAAGGTTCGACAGGCTTGCTGATGTCACGTCGATTTTGACGCTGTCGTAGATCATGTAACTCTACAGCACGGGTTCACAAGACCTCTTGCATCAAGAGGGAGGGGCCCAGCCAAACGCTGTGCGGGGTCTTTGGTGGCCTAAGCCAAAGTGGCTGATGGTAGCAGGCGGTGACAACGTAGCACCTGAGCTACGAACAAGTGGAATTCGCGCTCTTGCAGAACCCTTAAACTCTTACACCCTACAAGCCTAAACCGAATGGGCGCGGGCCACCGAGCTTCAGCATGCACTGGTCAGAGTTGACAGCACTTTACACAACAAAACAAATCTCGCACATGTGTTGCGTGTGTTGCTTGCGGTGATCCCTGCTTGATGCTGGACCTACGTACAACCTAGCCAGTCCAAGACCACACCGATGAGACTGTATCATCTCCATGTATATTCAAACTGCATGCATAACTGGGCCTGGCAAGATGCAACTATCTGCAGATGCTTCTCCGTATATGTACCTATACGATGCGCATGCACATATCCTCTTAGCAGAGGGAGAGCATAGGTGGCTTTATGTATGCCAGCAGCTATGCTCATTTTGTGCACTACGACAACCAATCATCACATCCTTTTCTACACGCATGCCATAATGCATCTCTCTGCATGACTCGCACATGCTTCCACAGTTGAACACAGTACTACAGATTACAGGTCTATCATGCAAACAAAGAGTGAGAAACAGGTAGATGCATAACCACATAAACATGTAGATAAGTGTATGTGTACACATACATACATACGTACACATACGCCACACGTGCATGCATGCATATATCTGCTCTCCTGTACACGTAACTTTAGTGCATACAGATGTGCAGATACTATATACAAAGGTGTGTACGTACAGCACCTCCCAAGCGCAGCCCAGCAAGTGCGGCTCTGGCGCCGTTTGGTGCTTGCTATGTCCTCTTCTGATACCTGGGATCAGGGTTTGGGGTCGTTCCGGACAGTTCAGACAAATTAGGGGACCCTGCTGCCTGTATACACATGTAGTAGCTCCGTAGTAGTTTCATAGTTATTCCGTGTCGTTGCCCGAACGACAAAAGCGACCCGGCGCATGTCTGCGGTCAGGGTGCTCGTCGCGGAAGGCCGCAACCTGTCCTCTGACCTCGTGTTGAAACTTTTCGAGGTTGAGGGGAGGGAGGGGGAGGGGAACATCTGTCAACGGTTTTAGGATTGTTAGGGTTTGGCTTGCATCTTCGTGGTTGTCGTCTTGCCACCACAACTACTGCAAAGTCTGCCATGCCACGGAGTCAACCGAAGCATTTCCTTGGCATCCCGCTCGCTCGCACAAGCGCTCTAGCCTGGCACGGCGGTGCATAGCATAGGGTTAGGGTAAAGGGTTTATCTATGTCCTGGGTGGTTTCCATTCTTTTCACACATTCACACTCTTCAAAATTGTCGTTCTCTTCGCCCACAAGCGGAAAGAACGATACCGTTCACGTATATGAAAGCGGGAAGAGAATGGGCTATTATCGAACATAAAGAGGTTTCTAGCTGGTCCCCAAGCTCTTCACACATTCACACTCTTCAAAGTTATCATTGACTTCACCGACAGGCAGAAAGAACGATTCCGACAAAGTATGTGAAGACATTGAGAGAATGGGAGGGAGACCGCTAGAGTTTAGGGTTTAGGGCTTCGGAGGGGTTAAGGGGAAGAAGGAGGTGGTGCATGTGTTTGTATTAGCTGCTGGGCCTTGCACACTTGGCTGCAAGTGGACAGTAGCAGTAGTAGTAGTAGTAGTAGTAGTAGTAGCAGCAGCAGCAGTAGGATTAGTAGCAGTAGTCGTCGTCGGCATAGTAGTAGTAGGACATTGTCACCAGTAGTACTAGTACCGTGCCGTTAGTATTACGGTGCTACATTTATGTTGATGTGATTGCTCTTGCTGTTGTTGCTCCACTGTTGCTCTTACCATCGGTCTTTGTGAGTAGTTTCACCAATGCTAACACTACGATGGACAATATTATGTCCTGTGCATAGAATTAAGAAAAAATACTGTTAACAACATTAACATTGCTGCTGATGTTACATTTATTAGGAATTATTATTATTGTTATTATTAAAACTGTTAGTGAGTATCGATAGTGCTGCTGTTGTTGCTATTTTTGTCGTCGCTGTTACCAACGCTAGCATTTTGCTTTGCATCATGGTGTTGCCGCAGATGTGGGAGTTTCCGAAAAATGGGGGGCCCCCAATATAGTACCCTAAATAGTAATGGACCCACAATAAGGTACCCCTAAATTTTGGAAACTCCCATGTGTTGCCGCCGCGAGGCCTACTCTGCCATTACAGGACTTCGTGCAAGGCAAGCCCGGCACAATGAGCTTGGCGAGCGGGGTTTCGGGCTTCTGCGGCATTCTGGGGGTATTGTCGTGCGTGTGGCTTTGGGACATAACGCCCTGGACACGAAAGATAAGCCGTAGTGCATTAAATCACGGTTCCTATGATAACTTCGGTGACAACAAAAATCGGAAAATGACCCGATTGGGATTTGGAAGCGGAATCCTGTTCGACAGTCTTGCGAGGATGCGAGCCCGGCGTGATGTTCACTACGGCTGTGAAGCAGAGCATGCACAAGAGCTGAAACATGCCGAGATTCATAGCAGTTCTTTGTTGTTCAGGATGCCTGTCAGACCCTGGACTCGTGATGCCACTGAGTGCTAGCTTAAGTCCAAAATGCCCATCCAGGGAACAGGAAACCCTGAAACCCCGAAAGCTCAAAAACCTTAAATCCTAATCCTTCATACCCCCTAATCACTAAAACACCAAAAAACCTTAAACACTGAAAACAAAACAACGACAAAGGAAGGACTTTTCAGCTGAGTCGTGGGCCACTGGTTGGCAAGGGGCAAAACTTTTTCAGATGGGCCTCGGCGTCTTCATTCGACCCCTGAACATAGCCCATGTCCGGGCCTTAACGAGTAGTAAAGTGCTGTGGGCATAGTACACACACATACATACATACATACATACGTACATGCATATGTACATCTATGCTTACACAGATGCATACATACATCACACATACATGCATCCATCCATCCATCCATCCATCCATCCATCCATGCATGCATGCATGCATGCACGCAGAGAAGGAGAGCGAGAGAGATACGCAGACAGGTAGATAGCTAGATAGATATGTGCATATGTGTATATATGTATAGGTATATGTGTATGAATGCATGCACGCATATATATATATATATATATATATATGTATATATATATATATATATATATATATATATATCACAAACCACTTTCGGAAACCCTCAAGAACTACTACTCACCAAGCAGCAACTCTCATCCCGGAAGGTTCGGTGAAGGTAGGGCCTT